ATGAAAGATCTTTAATCCAGCGGCTGGATCTGGCAGAAACAGAGCTTCTTGTCCTCTCTGCACTGGCTTAAGGTTGAAGCTTGCATCATGCTAAACACTTTATGCTTGCATAGCAGAACAGTCAAAAGCTCTGCATCCATGGCTTCTACAACTCTTCACCAGAAGCCTTCAGTCAGTCAGTAAGTAACAAAGGTACTCTAAATTACTTTCCAGAACCTTTTTTACTGTTCCTCAATGGTACTGCTGCAAACGGTTTATGTCTGCCATGAGGTATCGTGTCAAAACACATGATAGTGTCACATATGGATGATGCAATTTAGTCCGTGTTATATACATAATTCATTCATAGAAAAAACAGCCAGAAAGGGGAAACTGATGGATTTGTGTCAAATATTAGCATCATTTACCCATAACAATGTACACCTATCACTGTCTGTAAGTATGTTTGTGTGCTCTTTATACTGCTTCTATTCAAATTTGTAGTTAAGTGAGGAAATAAATAAATTGAAATGCAAATCAAAGTATAAATAGCAGAAGTGAACAGATAGATTTTCCCTACCAGCAAATATTAATCCGACAGCAAATATAAAAGCAGACATAAACCCGCTATAACTTCATCACCAATGACTAAATCTCTTAAAGATTTCTCTGAAACATCAGTGAATTGTAGCTCTAACATGGACATCAAGGCTTATAAATTACTGAAAAACAGCTGCAGGAGAAGTATATTGATTGCAAGTGCTCACATTGTGATCATATCTCTGTTTTGTTGTGTTGATATGCAATTTCAAATATTCATAGCTTGAAACAGATGGAAATATAATTGCTATTAGTATGACTACAATGGCGAAGGCTTAAACAGAGCAGTGCTCATAATATCAAGCAAAAAGAAAAAAGAAAAAGAGAGCTGGAAAACATAACCTGCTTTGTATTTCTGTAGGAAACACAGTTCTGTTTAGGGTAAGAGGTGTGAGAGTTATTGCCGTCAGTATATCACTGAATGTGTCAAAAATATCGAAAACAAAACCAACTTAACCAGCACCCCTCACAGAGCTTGATCCACTCTGGCATCGGTTGCTAAGCCACGATTGGTGGGTGGCGGTTTTTGGGTGTGGCTTAGCGAAGGGTCAACTGTTTAGGACAGTGGTTCTCAAACTTTTTTTATCAAGTACCACCTCAGAAAAAAAATTGTCTCTCCAAGTACCACCAAAATGAGCGGTATTGAAATACAGTAGCTTAGTAGGCCCAGTAAAGCAGCTACAACTCTGCACAGTTAAAAAACATGGCAGATAAACTCAGAAATATAGGCTATATGTCATGTATGGCATATTATATACATAATTTTTAATAAATTTTGAAATATATGTAGCATGTACATGACATATTTCATTCCTCCGCGTACCACTAGAAGCAAGCCCGCGTACCACTAGTGGTACATGTACCACAGTTTGAGAACCACTGGTTTAGGATTATAAAAATCGCACAATGTGAGTCTGGCTCATGCCGAGTTCAGACTGCATGATTTTAGCCTGATTTTGATAAGTCAAAATTATATATATATATATATAAATAATCACAGGCAAATCGTCGCTCGTTCACACGAGTAAAAATCACACAATGTGAACTATTAAAGACACGATCTGAGAAAATTGCAGATTAGTCGCCAACACCCATCAGATATTTGGCATGCTAATTGGCGATTACTACAGCCAATGACAGATCAGCATCCACTAGTATGGGTATCTGCAGGCCAGCAGGAGGGAAAAAAAAGTTTGAGAAAAAAGTCAGTTGAACAAAATAAGTAGATTTTTTTACTCCACTAAAGGCATCTTTCTCATTATGTAGTTAATAGCAATACTACCTTGCTTGTTTCCATATGACTTCTCGCAAATGTTTGGTTGTGAGACGTAGTTTGTGAACCGAGTAAAAGTTGTTGGCGATTCTTTCTATTGTAAAGGTATGCAGTATGAAACGCCGTCACCGATCCATCCTGCGGTGTAAACACAGCAGCGACGGCACGCTAGCCCAGATAGTCATGCAATGTGAAAACATCTGTGATGCGACTACTTTAAAAATCGTGCAATTTGTACATTAAGGAAGGTTCAAATGGTTCAAAGGAAGGTTGTGGTTCAAATTTCCTATGTCTGCAGGTAAAACAAATGAATATGCTTAAAAAAATAAATAAATAAAAAGAAAAAAAGCATCGTATCAGGATCGGACCTGTATCGATCGATCCTAAAAACATTGGTATCGAGAACGGATCGGTTGCAAAAAAATTGTGCCGGTGCATCCCTATTTTTATTAGAGAACATTTGAACTGTTTTCAGTTTGGTTCTTTCATTTTCATTTTAATTTTATTTAAAAACATTTTTTACCTGTTTGTTAATTAAAGCCGGGCATCACAGTGGAGTAGTGGGTAGCACAATCGCCTCACAGCAAGAATGTCACTGGTTCGAGCCCCGGCTGAGTCAGTTTGCATTTCTGTGTGGAGTTCGCATGTTCACGTGGGTTTCGATTTAGGGTGCTCTGATTTCCCACACAGTCCAAACACATGCGCTATTAGTGACATGAATATACTAAATTGGCCGTAGTGTATGAGTGTGAATGCAAGAGTGAAAGGGTGTTTCCCAGTGCTTAGTTTAGGCTGAATAGGGCATCCGCTGTGCAAAACATATGCTGGATAAGTTGGCGGTTCATTCTGCTGTGGGGACCCCTGATTAATAAAGGGACTATGCCGAAAAGAAAATGAATGAATGTTGATTAAATCCCGTTTTGTTATTTCACCTATTATTTTTATGCACCAGTCAAGTTGCATGTTAATTTGCTATGCAAAAAAAAAAAAGTAAATAATTTATTTTTGGCATGCGCATTTATGTGAAATCGTGAATAAAGGTCTATATGATCACCTTATTTATACATATTTTTTTTAATTATTGCTTTTTTGCTGAGTAGGCTCTTCTAAGATTTGATCAAACTTTTATGATGTTTTTTTTTTATAATATCCGTTGTTCACTGCATAAAAATAAAACATATTGAAATATTTATATTTATCGGCCACTATATATTGGTTATCAAACTTCAAATATAAAGAGTTGTCGGTTATCTAAAAAAATCCATATCGCTGCATCCCTATAGACAGTAGTATTAGTAATAGTAGTAGTAGTAATGTAAAATGCATTGCAAAAACTTGATATAAGAAATTCCAATTTCACAATGAACTGCTTGATTACTTTCTGACTTCTAAGTGGCTTTGGATAAAAGTGTATAAAATATATCAGATAACTAAGCATCTGATAGTGGTCTCTAATTTTGAAAAGTGTTCTTTTTAACATAACTCATTAAGTTTTTATGCTGTGCTTCATAATACATTTAACACGAAATAGGCAACACAGTGGCTCAGTGGTTAGCACTGTCACCTCATAGCAAGAAGGTTGCTGGTTTGAGGCCCGGCTGGGTTATTTGGCATTTCTTTGTGGAGTTTGCATGTTCATGTACTCCAGGTGCTTCGGTTTCCCCTTGTCTAAAGACATACGCTGTAAGTGAATTGAATAAACTAAATTGGCCATAGTGTTTGAGTGTGAATGCATTTACATTTACATTTAGTCATTTAGCAGACGCTTTTATCCAAAGTGACTTACAAATGAGGACAAGGAAGCAACTTACACAGCTATAAGAGCAACAATGAATAAGTGCTATAGGCAAGTTTCAGGTCTGTAAAGTCTAAGAAGGAAAGTATTAGTACTTTTTTTTTTTTTTTTTCTCTCGGGTACAGTTAGTGTGATATCCAGAGAGGCAATTGCAGATTAGGAAGTGAAGTGGAGACTAAACAGTTGAGTTTTTAGTCATTTCTTGAAAATAGCGAGTGACTCTGCTGTTCTGATGCAGTTAGGGAGTTCATTCCACCACCTGGGCAGATTGAATGTGAGCCTTCGCGAATGCAAGAGTGTATGGCTGTTTCTTAGTGCTGGATTGCAGCTAGAAGTGCATGCGCTGTTTAAAGCATATGCTGGATAAGTTAGCGGTTCATTCCACTGTGGGGAAACCTAATGAATAATGGGAATAAGCTGAAGGAAAACAAATAAGTAAATGTATAATATAACATAAATACTATAGTAATTTATAATAAATTATACTTTAGTAAGGTTCCACACACTGTATTACTTCCTATACATTTCTACAGTATTTCTGTATTTGGATGTGGTCACTCTTTTTTTTTCTCTCTTATTTTTTATTTATTTATTTATTTATTTATTTATTTTTGGAGAATTAAATGAACATTGATGTATGTTTTGTGATGTTTTACGATAGAATAATATTTGGCTGAGATACTACTATTAGCCGAAGGAAAATTAATAAATGAATGAATGAAATAGCTTAAAAGGCTAATGTACTCAAAGCTAACTACAAATAAAAATAAGAACGAATAGTAGACTAAAAATGGTCTAAAGTGTAGAAATGTGTAGGTTGTTCTCTCATTTTTATCTTTACAGTGTGTTATATGCATATGATTTTAAAATATATGTTTCATAATTACAAAATGAGAGCCACACCATTCACTGACCCATGGATGAAATGATATCCACATATTACGGTATTCAGCATAACTCTTTTGTATAGTTATACACAACCTTTTAAGCTTGATACCAAAACAAGTGCTTTTATGCAGTCTGCTGTCTATGTAGGGAGCTCGAAAAGTGTTGAGACACCGCCATTCAGTCCATCCAAACATTGATAGTTTGAGTGGTCTATAACTTGTACCAAAGTAAAACTTGACTGAAGCCAGAATATTTAATTCTAGTGTGCTACAATTTCAAGACAAACTACAATTGAACTGAACAAGACAGCAAACAACGTGTCTTCGCCTTTCTGGCTGACGCGGCGTCAAAACAAAAACATTGCTTTTATTTTCGTCATTAGTCATTCAGTGAAAGCATGAATATTTATGCAGCGGGACATCGATAGGACTTACATCGATAGGACTTAGAGGTCTTTGGACTTACCATAGTAAGTGTTGTATATTCGGCGTTCATTTGTTGCTGGTCCAACAGGATTGTTTCCTAAAAGTTTTGGAGGGGAACTTCCTTTACAGTGTACGTAGTCACCGGCCCATAGGGGAATGACAATGCTGTGCTTGGCCACTAGAGGCCGCTGCTTAATACAGAGCCACTAAACTACATTTTGTTTAATATGAAACTTTTTTATTTAACTGTTGTTATTAATTTTATTATATTTACATTATAATATTTTACTGTGTTTTATTTTAATTAATTTTAATTATAATTTAATTTTAATTCTAATGGAAATAGTTTTTTTGTTGTTGCTATTATTATTCAGGCAAACATACCACTTTGTTAGTTAATATGTTGTTGTTTTTATTCTATTAACACAATTTGTAATATTTTACATAATATTTATATGAAATAAATATTTGAAAGTTATAATATATATTTAATATTTATATAAAATAATACTTTACAGTTATTTTGTTTCAAGCAAAACATACTGCTTTGTTAGTTAATAAGTTTTTTTGCTGCTTTTATCGTTCATTTATTTTATTTTCGGCTTAGTCCCTTTATTAATCTGGGGTCGCCACAGCGGAATGAACCGCTGCTGCTATTATCACAATTTGTAATATTTCATGTAATATTTACATAAAACAATACTTAAAACACACTGCTTTGTTAGTCAATATGCTTTTGTTGCTGTTTTATAACATTTATAACAATGTGTAATATTTATATAATATTTCTATTATATAAAAAATTACTTCATTCTTATTTCTTTTCGAGCAGAACAAACTGTTTTGTTGTTTAATATGTTTTTGTTGCTGTTATTAATACAATTTGTAATATTTGATATACTATTTATATTAAATAATATTTGACAATTATAATTAATATAATGTTTTATATAATATTAATAGAAAATAATATATGACAGTTATTTCATTTCAGGCAAAACAGACTGCTTTGTTAGTTACAGTTTTCTTAGTGGCTTTGGTGCATTTCTCACAACACTATTTACATTTGCACAACAGTTAATGCATTTCTCAAAACAATTAGTACAAACTGCAAAACCTAGATGATAACCTGCAAAAGTGTGTCTCTTGCTCAAAAGAGTCACCTTGGAATTATAAGGTTCTATCTGCGTTCTGAATGATTTTAAGATATTGAGCTTTAAAGTTTTTCCATTCCATAGTAAACAGCATGTGTGTAACATTTGTTTTTTTAAATAAAAAGTGTTAAAATGTAAACAACTTCTAAAAAAAATCCCATAATGTAAATAAGTTGTCATTTATTAAAAATATGTCAATATCTCAATTTTGACAAAAATGTCAAATAAAACCTTATAATTTCAAGGTGACAAAATAGAAAGCTCATTCCTCAAAAGCAAGAATTGATGTCAATAAAAGTGTCAGAGTCATCAAAGTGAAAAGTCCTGACATCATTGTTTATGGACAAGATAGTTGAAAGGCTTTGTCATGTTTTCATCGCAGTTTACTTTGTAAATTTTTTCCAATGCAAAAAAAGTCAGATTTTGGTGACACTTCCTGAAAATGCTCAATACAGCACTATATACTGTTTGCACAGCCATTTGAAAACTACAGTAAAGTTAGACATCACTGCATTTATTGAAGTATCTGAGTACAAGACACTGAATATGTATGTTTCACATGTTTACTGCATTTGCTCTTTGCAATTCTAATTTATTCACAGCATTGTGCAAAAGAATAAACTCAGCCTTATTTACAACAAACATAAACTCCCTTTGGGTTGAACTGTGCACAACTGTAAACTATATTACAGTACATATTGAAACTGAACCTACAACACACACAGGTCTGTAAATCATTCATGAAATTGTTCAATTGAAAAGACATTTTCAGGAAAAAAAAAAATTATTTAAACATTTTATTACAATTAGCTTGACGGATTTTGACAACTAGTTCAACATTTTTGTATGTAATGACTCAAGTAATGAAATGAGGACTATTAGTTTTATATGGAATGACTATTCAGCATTTACAAGTTTAGTTAATTTTGACTGACTTGACATAAGCAACTGATAATGTTATAAAACAGCAGAGAGTTGTATGAAAGCAATTGATGCAGGATCAAAAGCATCTGCAATTTGTTGGAAGGAATGAGAAACTGCTACTATGATGTGCACTAACTGTTTTGAGAAATGCATTAACTGTTGTGCAAATGTAAATAGTGTTGTGAGAAATGCACCAAAGCCACTGAGAAAAACTGTAATATGCTTTTGTCTCTGATATTATTATAATTTGTAATATTTTACATAATATTTATACAAAATAATACTTGACACTTATTTAGTTTCAGGCAAAACAAACTGCTTTGTTAGCTAACATGTTGTTGTTCTTTTGCTGCTATTATTACAATTTGTAATATTTTATATAACATTTATATAAACCTATACTTGACAGTTATTTCATTTCGGGCTAAACAAACTGATTTGTTAGTTAATATGCTTGACAATATATGCCCTCTGCTTTTGAAATCCAACCCACAATTATATGCAATTACTTTTATTATTATTATTTATATTTTAAAGTACTATTAAAATGATTTATTGGTTTCATTGATGTATCTATTTAATAGATATTTTTAATAGATATCTTATTTTAATTCTATTTTAGGATACTGTATAGTATAAAAGGCTTACAATAACAAAATGAGCACACGTCATGCATTCATTCACTCCCTCATACATCAAAGTAACACAGCACATGTGCAAAGCCTCCACATTTAAAGTTTTATTTAGATTATTTATTAGAAATGTAAAAGTTTTGTTTTTAACTGTAATTATTTATTTAAACAATAAAAAACACACTGAATAATAATGATAAATAAAAACTAAATTAGATTTTTTTTTATCTTATATGCAATTGAATATATTCAGTTTGAGTAGGTGGAACAAAATCAATGCCAAAGGGATTTAAATAAAAGGCTGGTTGAATAGAACTAACTGGAAAAAATAATACATTGAATTAAGTGCTTGCATTTTAATGACTTGAATTGCCAGGGTTTGTAATTAAGTCCTGAAATTTAACATAGCTGTTTATTTAAGCTGTGAATATTTCAATTCAAAACACATTTTCATTCTTAAATCCAATACTCACATACATATTCAACATCCAGATTTCGTATTCAAGTCATTAAAATACAAGCACTCGTAAATTAAATGTGTTAATACTGTGCTATTCGACATTTTATTTCAATACATTTGTCATTGATGTTGTTCCATAAAAAGATTTGCAGCCCCATGCTGTTGCATCACGTGACCTCCAGGGGGCGAGTATTCGCAACTCATAGGTGTCCCACTGTGTTTTTCTAAACCGAGCTACTTGACTTGAACGGTGATCGACCCGTTCCCACCAAGTCTCAGAGGATATATCAAAACAATGCACCGAACGCTAATTTTACTCATTTAACTGCGGGAACAGAGTGAGTTAAAAGCAAGAGGATGATGTCGAAGTTGAAGCTTCAGTGAAGTGTGTGAATCCAATGTGATTTACGAACAACCGGTTTAATTCATTAATCACAGCCGTTCAAACTTTCCTGATGTGAAGGAGACAGCTAAACTCTGTAACAGAAGATGTTATAATGGAGGTTTCTCTTTGTATCCTGCTCTTTTTACTGCACTTCAATGAGGGAATTCATGGTAAGTTTGTTTGATCATAATCCGTGTTTACTGATCAGAGCTAACGTGTTGACGTGGATTAGATGTTTCGAGGTAAACTTCGGTGTTGGTGTAAAATATGGTGTAAATACACGTTTTATTAACATGGGATTATAATCTATTAACTAACAAATTATTATATTATCCTATTTATATACATTTTCCATAATTGTTCCTGTTTTTCCCATTAAATTGCCCAAACGACTGGAGCTTAAAGCAGTTAAACGTGTTTTTGTTATTGTGGTCAAAGTTGTTGTAGGTTATATTAGAATTACACTGGTTTGTAAACTGTGAAGGTATTTAAAGCAATAAATACTATTGTTAAGTACTATCAAGTAGTTTATTAATAATGAAGACTTTTTTGTTTACTTAAATTTTATTTTGCTAAGCATAATTACTTGATCAAACTTTGTGTTTGATTTGTATTATTAACTCTGCCAAAAGAGCAGTTGTGATAGATAGATAGATAGATAGATAGATAGATAGATAGATAGGTAGATAGGTAGATAGGTAGATAGATAGATAGATAGATAGATAGATAGATAGATATTTACATAGATAGATATATATTTAAATATATATATATATATATATATATATATATATATATATGTATATATATATATATATATATATAGATAGATAGATAGATAGATAGATAGATAGATAGATAGATAGATAGATAGATATTATTTACAAAGATAGACAGACAGACAGACAAACAGATTGTAACTTAGATAGATAGATATTTACATAGATAGATAGATATTTAAATATATATATATATAGATAGATAGATAGATAGATAGATAGATAGATAGATAGATAGATAGATAGATATTATTTACAAAGATAGACAGACAGACAGACAGACAGATTGTAAATTTATTGATTGTAGTTACATCCTAAACAGGACACTGTCGTTTCCTCATTTGCCTGTTTCCTGCTAAACGAGTGTGATGTTTGATGCAGATGTTTTGTCCAGCTGTGTTGTGTTGTCACAGTAGAGATCTTTCAGGCATCTGCAGCATGCATGACGTCTACTGTCAACAATCAGAACGTGCACACGAACAGAGATGCCAGAAATGGTCCCGGCACAATAGACTTCTTAGAAAGGAACACAAAAGCTTGTTGAGGGGGAAAAATAGACTCATAGTTCAATTCTGCGCATATTTAACTGTTTTATTAAGATTTGTTAGAACTGACTTAACATTTAGAGTTTGGACACACCTATGTTATTATTTGTTATTATTATTATTATTATTATTATTTTCTGCAAATTTAGATTTGAGAAAAATTAGAATTCTAATTATTGCAATAATATATTTGTGATATTATATTTTGAAATAATGTTATAACAAACATATTTTTCCTATAATTTCAGGGAAAATTAAATATCTCTACTAAAAGTGAACTGCCATGTTTGTTGTTGCATAAAATGAACATGGCATTTTTACAATGTAAACAAACAAACAAAAATAATTATCAGCATCGCTTTACTCCACTGGTATAGTTATATCAACCTACAAATCATCAAGAACAATCCGGAAAGCATAAAACAATTGAAACAGGGTCAAGTTACTTCTCATTGCTTTGTTACATGGCTTAATTTCTTGGTCATACAGTAATTCATCATTAATACTAAAATCGTTACACATTTTTGAACAAGAAAAACCAGCATGTCCGATTTCAGAGATTTGTGTACATGTAACTGCATTGCCTGTTATGCTGAAACGTCTTTTAGAGGGTGTGCTAGTAGCAGTCACACTATACCTTTGTATTAAATGACCATTTGTTGCAAACCATTGCAATATGTATATCACAATATGCACATTGCGGTATTTTCAACCCAGGCTTATTGTAAATATGTGCCCAGGGATACATTTTTGAGAACTAAGAAATATGTACCCTGGACTACGTTTTCTTGCCGTTTCTGTTTTTTTTACAAATCCACTAGAGGGTGCCGTGTACATTTTTGACAACCTCAAATAAGTTACTGGGGCACGCTTTCTCATTCTCATTTCTCAGTGCAAATTGAGCATTTCGGGCGTTTGATACGCTTAATGTGTGATTCGTGTGAATATCTCGAGTTGAAAAATCTGAACTTTGGCTGACATTCGCACTGCATTAACCACTCAGGAGTTTGCACTAGTAGTGGCATGACTATGACGTAGCACCGGTCGTTTGTGTCCTGAGGGGAAATCCTGCATGCCGACATAGGACAACAAGAGCTCCCCAAACTGGGACCGGCTTAGTTGAAAGTACTGCTGAAAGCGTCTGTCATCCATGCACTGCTTCTGGAGGAGTTGATAAACTCACAGAGCTGGGTGCAACTCGGAAGGATCTGATGGAACCAGACAGAGAGCTGAATGAATCTACGCTGTTTTTCAACATTCCTAAAGCACATAAAGCACAGTTACTCTCTCAAATAAATCTATTTTAGCCATTAGCATTGAAACTGGAGTCCCCAGGCACACAGGTGCACCTCACTTGACATGAATCCATGTCTGCATGCTTTTACAATGGTATCTCACTGCTCTTTTTTGGGTTTTGTCTTACCTGGTTTCTGGAACCATCATCAGTCTAGAATCATGGGCCACTCCGCTCTGCCTCCCTCATCTGGCACCGTACACAGTGAGCTACTGAGCAAACCAATCATGTCAGAAAAGCCTCATAGTGTGTGTTTTACACACAGAATGCAACCATTATGCACCCCATGGCACATATTTTTCTGTTCACAGAAAAGTAGTCCTGGGCACATTTTCTGAGTGAGCCTGTGTAGTGTGTGAATATTTCATAAAACATTTGATGCATGGTCTTAATGGATGATAGATAGATAGATAGATAGATAGATAGATAGATAGATAGATAGATAGATAGATAGATAGATAGATAGATAGATAGATAGATAGATAGATAGCTTAAAGTATTGATGCATTTTGTGTTCAGAAATGCTCTCTACAGAACCTGTTTGTAACTGAGTTACAGTTACTGATGTTTCTTCAAATCATCTGGGGCCTCATATATTAAAACTTTGCGAACGCCAGATTTTACGCTCACATTTGAATTTACTAACGATAAAATTAACGTGAGTGTGCGTTATTCTGCGCCAACTTCATGTCTGGCGTACGTGTGTTTCTTGTGTTTGTTTGTTTTTTTTTTTCATTGGCAACTCCTAGAGGCAATTATGTTAAAGTGCACACTACAAAGTACCGCACCAACAAAGTATCCTGGCAACTGGTTCTTTTTAAAGGGAACTGGCAGACTACTCAGAGTTAAGCCAGTCGTCTTTGAGCCGTGCAATGCCAGCTGTTTGGAACAGGATCATCATGTCTAGCAGGTATATGAGGTTTCCATACTATGCAGTTGACCAGTCAAATATTAAAGTGCAATTTGCAGCGATCGCCGGTTTTCCCAATGTAATCGGAGCGATCGACTACATGCACATTGCCATAAAGGTGCCATCTGAAGACGAATTTGCATACGTGAATCGGAAACAATTCCATTCAATAAATGTGCAAATAATATGTGATGCTCCGATGCGCTTAACAAATATTGTGGCAAGGTGGCCTGGGTCAACCCATGATTCATTTATCCTTACAAACAGCATGGTTGGGATGAGGCACTAAGGTGGCAGGGTGCGTGATGGGTGGCTTCTTGGTGAGTGATGTATTTAAAGATATTATTCCAGCTAAGTTTATTATATTTTATTTTATTGAGCGTAATTATTAAATTGCATATCAGGAGACTGCAGTTATTTTTTAAAGACATGGCTGTTAACCCCACTTAACAACCCACAAACTGACCAAGAGTGCAGAAACAATAATGCCCCTACTCACACAGTTGTATAGTCAGTTATAGTCAGTTGTAGAGCGGGCGATTGGGCAGCTGAAATGCCGGTGGCTCTGCCTGGATAAGAGCAGTAGGGTGCTGCTGTACCGTCCTAACAAAGTGTTCCTCTAATACATCTGTGTCTCCCACAGACACGGATACTATTCCAGACAGTAAAGTGTCACCCACAATTGAGGCAACTCTTTTCTCAAAGGGTGTTAGTTCAGCATCCCCTGTTCCCCTGCCAGTTCGGTCCACACTTTGACGGTGCGCTGCTGTTCTCCTCTTAACCTGCACCTTTACATTGGACCATTTCTTTTTTAATTCGTTCACAGGACGATGTTCAGACCCCACTGCGTTAACCGCGTCAGCTAAACTCTCCCACTCTGTTATTAATTCCGGAGGACAAACTTGCAAATAACAACGTTTTTCTCTGGTCTACCTCCGATAGGAGCACCTTCAATTCACATTCTGTGAAGTTTCTCTTCATGCTTGCTTTCGCCATTGCTTTTTTTGTTTGGTTTTGCCAAAGTAGAGTCATTACCATATTTGTAGGGGGGAGGAGGCAGGGAGGGGTCTTGCGCTCATGCACTTGCACTCAGTTTCACGTTAATTCGGATGTACAAACAGAATATGCGTCGGATTTCACGCACAGTGTTTAAGTTCATACATCTGACTTTTTTACTGCGTATGCACATTTACAGCTTTGTCCGTACGCAATGTTTTAGTATTAATTCAACGCAAGTCTTTGTACACAAGGCCCCTGGCCTTTCGTCTCTGATCTGTGACATCAAGACTTTTCTTTGTAAAGCTAGAGGTGGTTATGGGTGAAAACCCCAGTAGATCAGCAGTTTCAGAAGTACTCATACAAGATCACCTTGCACCAACATCCATGCCACTTTCGTAGTCATTAAAATGGACAGTTCAACCAAAATGAAAAGTTTTGATCATTTACTCTCCCTTCACTTGATCCATTTTTTTTCTTTCCTTCTTCTGTTGAACACAAAAGAAGACACTTTGAAGAAAGCTGAAAGTTGTAACAATTGACTTTCATAGTATTTGTTTTTCCTACTATGGATGTCAAAGTTTTGGAACCACTTGAGGGAGGGTAAATAGTGAGCACATTTTCATTTTTGGGTGAACTATGCCTTTAAGTCTTAAATTTTTCCACGTCCTGATGCTTGTTTTGAACTTCAGCAGATTGTCTTGTTGACGTCTACATACTTGAATGCATATCTAGTTGCTGCCATGTCATTGCCCATGTAAATTGATCTCATTATGTAAAGTTGATTTGTCTTTTATAATATTTGTGTTCTCTTGCATTAGAAGGATGTCAATTTTTTTATCTTCCAGGGGTACGCTTCACCAAAAACCCTTCCAACCAAACGGTGACTCAGGGTAACATGGTCCGGCTGGGCTGTGCCTTTGAGGGTTTGAGTGAACCAGAGATTATCTGGATGAAGGATGGAGAGAAGCTCTTCAGCACTGATCAGATGTACATCACACTGGATCCATATCACTGGGAAACCTTTCACAGGTAGGATGCTTTAAATGTTGTTCAGGATGTTGGTGAATCAGTTTTTTTTATTGAACTACAACAGCATTCTACCACCACTCTGCTTCCTATCTGACAGGGTAAAACTATCCAAATAATTGTAATGACTTTTTAATCCTTTTTTCTACATTCATGTATAGCTGCTTTGACACAATTTACATTGTAAAAGTGATATAGAATTAAAGATGACTTGACTTAACTTTAGCGTGAATTTACCTCCATATGGATGGCTTTCCCACTGCTACTGGTTTGTCCAGTTAGCTAGCTCTGTACGTTGGTGGACTTTAGATGCTGATATGAGTTAACCACTACAATAGGGTTCGAGTCCGGTGAAAAATGGTCTTAGCGGTTAGGACAAAATCAAAAGCTAAAAAATAAAATAACAAATAAACAACAGGGTGAAAATGTGGTAAAATCTGAAAACGTGATAAAAATAAAGCGAGGGCTTTTCTTTTTTTTGGATTGCTTTGCTTTTTAAAACACTGTCAGTTGGGTTTTGAGAAGTGGGTGGGCAAGTCAATTGGTGCTTTTGAAAACACTATTGGTTGGGTTTAGGGAAGGAGGAGGGTAAGTCGATCTGTCAGTCAGTCAGTCATTCATTAAGTCAGTGAGTCAGTCCACAGCGGCCTCTGGTGGATTTACGTGAGAACAGCAGCCGCAAATGGCACTGGTGAGAGAAATTTGAGATCTGTAAAAGCATACACAGCGGCCTCTGGTGGATTGACGAAAACAAAAACTGCCAAAAAACATAGCTCCTGGGACATATTTGGTGCTTTAAAGGAATATATATAGGGGTATGTTGCTCTATCTGCTAAAGATAATGTCAGCGACTAGAGGCATTTTAAGTGTCGAGTTTTAGGATGCACAAATGAACACTGCATTCCATAGACTACCTTTTTCCGAGCCACCTTTTGACATTTTCAGTTTTTCACAGAGGTAACGCTTGTCCTGTTTTACTGACGCATAGGCATTTTTAGCTCCGCCTCCTTTTGAAAAGAGCACAATCTCATTTGAATTTAAAGCGACAGTCACCAAAATTACACAATTTAGATCAAACCTTAAAATTGTCAGTTTCAAAGAGTTATAAATATATTATTTGTGGGGTATTTTGAGCTTAACATTACATTCACACTCTAATAAGGGGCATAATAGGTCTTATTTAAGAATAAACAGCTTTTGTAATCTTAGTAGTATCACTTATTGCAGTAAGTTCCATGACAACATTTCGCACAGCTAAAACTAACATTAACAGGCATAACTGAGTTGAAACTGTATTTGGGGACACCTGGCAGTATGAAGAGGATGTGAAAACAGATCCGATTATGTTGTTATAGGACATTTCAATTCTCAGATTTGACAGTACTTCTTTATTAAAGTTGCAAGGCAGGCAGAACTGTTACTACTGTAGGTTTTTCAGGCAATTTACACTGGGCAGCCAATAAGACAGAATACAATAGAGACTTTTTTGACCTAGCTAAGCAAAAAAAAACTTTATCTTTTGTATTTTTGCCCAAAACGGTCTGTCCAGTTGTCATGAGACTATGGCCTTGAGATTGTGCCTCAGTGTCTCTATTTTTATTATTATTACAGTGTGGGCGCAGACGCAGAGATAGAACAGCAGAACAGTTGTTTGTGCTTTTCTTGTTAGATACAACAGCAACTACAACATCATATGATCATGTTCAAGGACCTTTTTTAAGTCTTTCTTTGCTAAAGAAAGATTATTTAGGAAGCTGTCAGTAATTTCTTTTTCTTTTCACTTATACACTGTTATATACTGTAATAATTGTACTGTTTTGTATGTTAATTATAATTTGATACTTTTATAAAGCTAGCACAGATTAAATTGATCAAAAACGACAGCAATCTATAGTTTTACAAAATAATAAAAGGTTCTATATAATTAGGTTATTCAAGCATCCTGAAGAAAATATCATGGTTTCACAAAAATATCAAATAGCAGGGTCTGTTTTCAACAATGAAAACAATAACAACTTTTTCTTGGTCACCAAAATTAGCATTCCAGGCTTATTTCTGAGTGATAACATAATACTGAATTCCGGAGTAAAAGTTCAGCTTTGCATTACATTATATTATTAATTTATTCATTTTCTTTTCGGCTAAGCACTTAACTAATCCGGGGTCACCACAGCGGAATGAGCCGACAACATATCCAGCATGTTTTACGCAGCGGATGCCCCTTTATCCACAACCCATCTCTGGAAAACATCCATACACCCTCATTCACACTCATACACTACAGACAATTTAGCCTACCCAATTCACCTGTACCCCATGTCTTTGGACTGTGGGTGAAACCGGAGCACCAGGAGGAAACCCACGCAAGTGTGTGGAGAACATGCAAACTCCACACAGAAACGCCAACTGAAATATAATTTCACTATATTCTTATAAAATTTTTGTAAACAAATAAATGCATTATTGCTGAGCAAACGAGACTAGATTTTAATCCCCCAAATGTTTAAGTGCTAATGTAGTTCAGTCCACTTTTAAAACTGTGGTTTAATGGGATAGTTCACCCAAAACTGAAAATTCCGTCATCATTTACTCACCTTTTAAAGCACATGGTTACTGTAAGCAAATGGCAGAGATGTGTATTGGAGCTGTGAGGAGCTGTGCCACACTGCGGCCCCGTTTACACTAATACGTTTTGATTTTAAAGCGCATAAGCTTTGCTACGTTTATGGCATCCATCCACACTACGATGGAGTTTCGAGCGGCGAAAATGTAGCGTTTTGAAAATGCTGGAGAGGCTGTTTTCATTCTAAAACACTGCTGCTCCGTGTAAAGCCTGGTTTATACTTCTGCATCAAGTGACCGGCGCAACCCACGGCGCATGCAACGAGCGTGGCTGTGCATTTATACTTCTGCACGCTGTCTCTGTTGGTCTGAATTAACACTTCTGAAACGCTAGTTGGCAGTGAGGTGTAAATGTTTCTCTGTGTCGAGTTTCTTCTCTGCTTTTTTGCTTTTCCTGAACACTTCCGGAATGTACAAGTGGCTCAAACTCGCTCATTTTGAGGCAGGAACCGGCGGACGTGCAGCAACTTTAACTATGAGGTAAACACAAAGCAAAACTTTCCATCAGGAGCTCCTTCACGGGACTCCACACTTGTAAACAATCGCTACATTGGGCTCGCGTCCAGCTCGCGCGGCTCTCGGTCTCGCCCAGACTCATCAGCGCTACCAAGCCGATCAATCACAGAGCTTGCGCTACGCGTTGTTGCGACATGTAGTTACAATTTTTGAGAGGTGCACGTCAGCAACGCCGACAGCCACGGCGAAGGGCTATGCGTCAACGCCGTAGCATACGCCGGCGTTTGATGCAGAAGTAAAAATCAGCCTTAAGTGTGGATGGGGGAAAACAGAGACATCTGAAAACGGAGGAGGGGCTGCAGACATTCGTATATCTGATTGGGGGCTTTTTCCTCAATATTAAGTAGCCTACACTAAGTTCAGTCTTGCACCCTCTCCTTGTAAGTTCAGACTTCGCAAGTTTGATATGGAAAACAAACTCCCGAGGACACGTCGGGTAAATCTTCAAAGGGAGCAGTGTACTTTATAACCTCATTCACATCATCCTGGCTATGTTGTTTCACTTTTTTTAACAATAAAATGAAGACATGATATAAGGAATTGCCTATTTCCATTTTGATATTAACAGCTTAACAGACACCAAAAATGTTGAAGTGTTGTGTAGCTGCATATTTATATGATCGTCATCTTCACTGTATGCATATTTTTAACAAAACGGAGCCTATAACATCACTGCCTTCTTTCATTTTCAGTGAAAAATACAAAACATACCATCTCTTTTGCTGAATATCAGTTTTAATAATCAATAATGGCCATTATAAAAGTATAACATACATTACGTTTATACATTATAGGAAATAAATGCAATCAATCATTCAAATGTGCAGAATCAGTGGCCACGGTTAAATGAATTATTAACTTATCTTTGTGCTCAGCCAAAGCATGTTACCTCAGAACAAGTAATATTCAAAAGACCAAAGTTAAGGAATATGTCGTTAAATATAGACAACAAGATGAATTAAATATCACGCTTAACAAATATAGTGAGATTAGATCCAGCGGTAGATCCTTGGTGAACATTCCGAGGTGCGCTGCTCTCATCATGCTCTCATCGCTGCAGCGCATGCCAGAGTGTGTGTGGTCACGTGAAGTGCGTTTTCAGCGGTGTTGTCTGGACAGGGAGTTGTTCAGAAACACTGTGTGAAACTCCAGTGTGGAAGCGGATCATTTTCATTCTAAAACGCCATTTTAAAGCTAAAACGTATTAGTGTAAACAGGGCCTGGGAGGATTCCTCCTTTAATTGGAATGTCCCATTTGTCCTTCATTAGCATATAAGATATAGTATATAATATTTTCTCAGTATACAGAACAATCTCTTTAAGATCTGTCCCAAAATAAAACAAATAAAATTAGGCCATATAAATGAAAATATGTTTTATTCTATGTCAGCCATTTTAAACTTTCTGTCGAGCATCTTAATAATCAGATATTTGCAGTACATGACTGAAATGTGGATGGAAGACAAGAGTATAATGCAGATGTACATTAGTAACATGAGCTTGCTTTACTGAACGCTGTCAGGGCTGAAAATCTCTTACACGTGTCTAGTTTCCTAGATGCTTGTTTAGGCCGCTCCTAGACTAAACACACTTTGGAAGGAAACTTGCTTTTGAAAAGTGTTGCCTGCTCTAAGATTAGGCTAAAAGAGGATAATAAATGGCAAAAAGGGAATTATAGACGTCACGTTTCCTTGCTGAATGCAATCCTGCCAGCATAATCTGCCATATAAATGCCTTGTTTCCCTTTGTCACAGCTGTAAACAAAAGTACACGTCATTCGTTTCCTTTATGTAAATGCAACTCATGCTGCAGTTTGCGCAACTGACCTTTGTCTACATAAATCTCAGCACTTATAGACTCACTGCCTCTTGTTTGGTTGTAAATAGTTCAGATGGATGTGGCATTCTTCCATAGTTACTAGTAGACAAAGTTGTGTCATTTTCTAATCTATGTCAAGTCAAATCACATTTATTTTTATGAAGCAGTAAACACAGTACAGGCCGTTTTAAAGGGCACCTATGGTGAAAAATCTACTTTTCAAGCTGTTTGGACAAACAGGTGTGTAAGTATAGTGTATAGACCGTCATATTGGGGTGATATAAACACACATAGTCCTTTTTTTTTAATTTAACAATATAAAACCAGTGGGACCAATTGGAGCGGTTTTCAGACCGACCGCAACTTTACGCAGGAGAGCGGTCCCCCCGCCCACCAATATTGATTGACAGCCTCGCGCCACGATCATATCCTCAGTTTCTTGTTGCACATCCGCCATTTTCAGCATGTGAGTCAAAGCGATATCACTAAAGGAACACCCTTGCTCTTTTTTTTAAATGAAAAGCTCATTGGGCTCAACACAAGATCAAAATATTCTCCACATTATCGCTGTAATCGGAATTATTGCTTGTACCTTTTGCATGGCGCCGTTTATTTCGAAGTTCTGGGCGTGGTTTTCTGTCGGGGTGCACTCGGCGCTGTTGTGTTTGCCCTGGTGAAGGCCTGTGTTTGGAGATCTGGAATGCGTGGCGCGACGATTCCGGGTCACTTCATGTTTCTGCGTCACTGAGTGTCTGGTGTGCCGTGTCGCGGCGCATTTGGTGCCTCAGTCAAAGTTGATTCAGTGTGTGTGGTTATTGGTCTCGGTGTTCAAGCTTGCCACTTGTATACCGAGACTATAAAAAGACACAAATAATTTTGGACTCTCTGCTTGGTCTGTGTCCAGGTCGAACATGTACGGCTGAATGCTCATCCTAGCTTAGCTTCTCTCTCTCTGTCTGTCAGCCTGTCTGTTGCCATAGATATATACATTAGATGTCGCCTGGCCTATTGTTGTCTATTAAACGGAATGCGTCAATAGCGCCACCATCTTGCTACAGGGTAGCGCTCCTTTGAAATGAATGCGGGACCAAGGTACAGTGGAGGACTGTGGCCATCCAAAGCCAGAGATATACACATATACACATATATCTATGATCGGGAGTTTTCCTGGATGTTAGTATGTAATTTTTTTTTTCTAATTACGAAAATTATAATTTTACATCACTTTTCTACATTGATGGATCAGTGACCGCACGGCCATTCCTGACAAAGCTTGTGTTTTTGTGTACAGAAATGTACTATTCACCCTCCCTGTTAAATTTGATCTAATCATGTCCAGAAACACACCTCCTCTCCTGCTTTCACTTCTCATACTGACGGAGGGAGTGATTCGTTTGTGAATGAATCCCCGTTATGAACGACTCGTTCATAGCAGACAATAATAAAGTTTCTGGCAGCGCAGCATCTCGTTGTCATATTTCTTTTGCATTGTTTGCTGATTTTATTCAACAAAACTAGCATAAGCCGAGTGTTTAGTGCGAGTTGGAGCTGCTTTGCCGAATGCAGTAAGTGACTGTTATCATTAATAACGTTACCTGATTAGCACAAAAGTTCAGAACATACAAAAACAGAAAAAAACTTAATATTACCTATGAAATGTTCTGCCTTTGTGCTTTGTTTTCTTTGTTTGCTCGTTACTACACCCGTAGACAGCGCTAAGTCCTGCATCTTCACGTAATAACACTGTCTTGACTATTGCGGTTGAATGACATTTGTCCTAGGAGCACTGTACCAATGTGGCGGCGCTATTGACGCATGCTCAGGGTCCCTATGGGATATCTAGTGTATATATCTATGGTCTGTTGCAAACACAGAGCGTGGGAGCTCTTGGCTCCGCCCCCTTGTTACATTGGGCGGGAAGCTGAAACTGTGAAGCAGCACGCCCCTAAAACAGCAAACTGTGTAAGCGCCCCCAACATGACACTTTTGAACACATTATAATAAAAACATCTGAACTGTGTGTTGAACTGAACCTAAACTGGCACACTCAGAAGAACCATAATATTAATATTAAATCATAAAAAAGGGCTAAACTATGGTGCCCTTTAATACTAGCTTCATGGTAATGTGCAAGAAATAGCAATGGTGCAAATGTTTTATATAAATAATGTACTGTGTGTGATTTTTTGCTTGAGGCACTTTTGGTTGGTAAGTCTTATTTGGGTTGGAGGGTTTGTAATGCCTAGTTCACACTAGAGGATTTTAAGCCTGATTTGAGCCCGATTTGGAAGTTAACGAGCTCGCCGACAGATCGGGCTGTGATCGGGAAGAAATCTGCGGGTGCACGGCGCTCGCCGCTATTTATGTGTGAACTACTGAACAACGCATCAACGAGGCTCGCTGACGCGTCGCCGACACCTCGCAGACGGAAATCCAACATTCAGCATGCTAAATATTCCAGAGCAGTCGGCCGACTCAACCCCACGTGTGGTCGGATGTAGTAATGAGCTGCAGCCAATGAGAGAGCATATCAGCATGAGCTGAATGCCTGTGTGTTCAGGAGCTCAGCAGAAACATCTGTGATTGGTCAGAATGGGCATCAACGCACTCGCTTCATTCTGCGTTAGCACAGATATGAGAGTAGGCTATATTAACAGTGGAGCTAGAATTCTGTAACTATTAGAATTACCATACTGCTCATTCTGACCGTTCTCATATAAAACGCCATACTGTCACAACATATTTACATTCAGAGCTGTTATTGAGATATTAAAATTAAGCTTTGAATGTTTGGCATCATATTTAATGACACTATTACCCTAAAAATATAATATGTTTTGGTAATACAGCCTATAAATATGTAGTTAAGATACTAAAACACTTAAAGGTCTTGGCTTTCATTTTCACTTTCAAACAGGAGCTATTTAACAGCGCAGAATATGCTGTTTTGAAAGATATCTGAAGTAAATTGATGTTTTTGCCATCAGAAAGTTTTGTTTATGTTAGCAGGAAGTAGCCAGGCAAGAAAATGCACACACATTTAAAGTCACAGCGAAAAGTATCAGACATGCATGCAGTCATTTTAACCAATATGGTAATTTAAGGCAGAAATGCTCAGTTCTTTACTGTTTTGTAATAAAAAAAATAACAATGTCAGAAAGAAATACACTGATAGTTAGAAAACGGCAGGGTGTTATAAATATGTTAGTTTTATTTCAAAGAGTTATAAAATTACAAAAATTAAAAACTCTCTGTGTATCTATCCACTGGAACCTTGCAGATGAGTGATTAATCCGCTGATGAATCAGCTGATTTGACGATGTTTTTAAATGCTTTCTCCAAAGCTTGAAACGCTGTCAGTGATGTCATCAGCACACAAGCAGCCAATAGTGTTCAGCTTTTTCTGACGACTCCTCCCTCAAAATTTAATTGGCTGTGGTTTGGTAGCTTGAATGAGCTGATGGGGAATGAGTTGTTGTCAGATCATGTAGTGTGTGACCCCCCTCTTGTGGATCGTTCACGGAGTGTTGCGTAGTGTGAACACCTCAGAGATTAAAAGACACAAAGTCAAGTCATGTAGTGTGAACAGCACAGCGATCTGCTGATGTTTAAAATCCTGTAGTGTGAACTAGGCTTAAATGACACGTTGTTTGGTTTTATGGTTAATTGAACCCTTTAAAGAGTGTCCGATCTGATTCTGACTTTATTTTTGTGCTTTTAGTGTTAAATCTGTGCAGCAACAAGACGCTGGAAAGTACTGGTGTGAAGTTGAATATCACGGCGCAATCATTTCCTCTGAGCCTGCTTGGATTACAGTAGCAGGTATGTCACTTAAACCAGGGTTTTGCAAACTTTTAGGACACACGCCCCCCCCCAAGTTTGTCCAACTTCACTCGCGCACTCCCAGGCACCCCTCCCTCGAGACAAAATTATAATGCATGTGCAAACATCATTAACATATTACTTGCTGCGTTTAAAGTGCGTAGAATTAAGTATATTGAAACATAAATACCTTACCTGATTCAGTGTGATGGCTGAGCCTGTTGCTGTGAGGACAACATGCATCTGTCGTTGGATTTCTGACACAACTAACCGTAAATCATCTTCCACTGTCAATAAGCATGAGCCATAGCATACTTGCTTTTGATGTACGTACGAACAGAAAATGCTGCTTCGCAAAGCCCAGAACGCAAAGCCCTGACGGTGTGGTTGAGTCAAACATTGAGTATGTTTACATGGGCAACAATACTTTAATACGATTAAGACAATCCTCTGATTAGAGTCTACCATGTAAACAGCGATTTTTGATTACCTTAATTCGACTAAAGTCATAATAACTGAACTAAACAGAAATGTAATTAAGACCAGTGGAGCATACATATATAAGTGACAGTATTTAGATAAACACCGCAATCAAACTGTTACCGTCATGTAGGACTTTTCACCGCATTTTTTGACAAGATCTACACACACACACGGCTATCAGTAAAGGGCCGCGTGCGCACATATACACACACACACTAACACATGATTAAATGCGGAGGGTTTTTTTTCCTTTCCATTCGGCTTTCCATTAGAACAACTCTCTTCCACCAGTCCTTACTTTATATTTGCATCTATTTCCCCAGTTTGTCACGGGAGCGTGACTGACATGTTCATGACTGAAAGTGAAACTTGAAACGAACTGCAGTAAAGTCGAAAAATTAAGAATGAAACACCCAAAATTGGATGTGAAAAGTGTGAACGTGAATAGCCTGGTGACACAACATTCAAAAAGCACTTCACATAACATCTTAATTACATTAGTGTCTTATTAAGGCAAATAACTGATGTCCATTAAAACATAGTCAGTGATGTCTTCAAAGTGAAAGATCCAGAAGAGCATTCTGCTTATTTGATTCAGAAGGGCACTTTTTTGTCTGATGCTCACCGGTTTGACTTTTATTCATTCACCATCAGTCATTTTAAAACAGCAGCTGGTCCATTTCATTTGTGCATATTTTATTGGAATGCATTAACTCTACAGGTGCCTGATAGTTAGCTGTAGAGCTGACGTTAATCATATTCCCTCTAGTGAACGCATAAAAATCGCCATCATAATTACGAGCGCACGCTTCAATGTCTCGCACCCCATTAATAGGTGCACCCTCGGTGGGGCGCGCTCCACAGTTTAAAAACCCCTGACTTACGCCATATTCACACGGGGCTTCACCGTCAACGCTTGACTGAAGGCGTGTCTGAAGTTGGGGCTGAAGTGATCGTCATAGAAGCGTCAGCCAATGAATTTCAGTCAGCAATAGGCCACTGTCTAGCTGGTGTACTTGCATACTACGATCTGATTGGTTGACGCTTCCGTCTGCGCTTGAAAAGTTGAGCTAGTCCCAACTTCTGCAGCGAGCAATGCCTCTGAAGCGGCGCTGACGGATCCATAATGCAGTTCGGCAACGCCTGACGTCACCCATTCAAAGTGAATGGGAAGCGTTGACGCTGCCGCCCCGTGTGAGTGGGGCGTTAAACCTTAAGTACACTGAAGACCATACCTGCTAACAAGTTTTCCGGGAGACAAAACAATACGGGAGATGGCCAGGAGATGGGTCTGAAATACGGGAGACTCCCGGGAAAAATGGGAGTGTTGGCAGGTATGCTGAAGACAATGATTTACTGGATTTAGTATTTTTTTAAGGCGAACAATTAATATGGGCTGAATATAAACAAACAAATAAAATTTTAGTAATGTGCAAAACCTTAATAAAATATCGCAAAATCAGTTTTTTCCAATATCGTGCAGCCCTAGTGCAGACAAATATTGTCCAATCTGAACAAATCATAAATCTATGAAAATCGTATTTGTAATACTTTCAGATTATAAAAAAGATGTATGAATGGTTTTGTGTTCCATGGTCTGGTATCTTGTTTTTTTTCAGCACAAACACTGCACCCATTGCTTCTTACTGCTTGTATGTCCAGGTGTGCCTCATTTTGGCGTAGAACCTGAGGATGTGGCTGCATTTGCAGGGGAGTCGTTCAATCTGACGTGTGCTGCTTCAGGCCCTCCAGAGCCTGTGGAGGTGCTGTGGTGGCTGGGGGGTGAACAGAATGGCGATTTTACACCCTCCCCATCAGTTCTCTTTGTTAAAGGTGAGAGATAATAAAAAAGGCCTGTCTCAATACCAAGACATGTGGCTTTTGCATTTGGCCGTTTGCCTGCTTGCAAGGCCTGTTTATATGTGGTATCAAAAAAAACATTTAATATTATATTTATAAAAATGAAATTTCTTGCCTAAGAAATTAGATGAAAAGTAATAGAAAATAATGATTTTACCAACAAAAAAAAAAGGAAAATGTTGCTAAGGTACATATGTAATGATTCAAAATGCAAAAGATATAAGAAAACTACTTAATAACTAGTACCTAGAGTTATTGAAAGAGGAGGATGTTCTAGTGCATTTTTTGTTTAATGTAGTCAGAATAAAATGACAGTAGGCAAAATTATTACTTTGTAATAAGTATTACAGTAATAATTATTATAATTATTACAAAATTATTACAGTTTGCTGCTCAAAACATTAAACAGTGATTTAAGAATATATTTATAATCACATTATGAAAATGTGATGTGTTTAAGATTCATATCCTCTTTCAGATCTTCTGTGAGATATTTTAGACTGATAAAATGTTGAACTGGGTCACTAGTTGTTTTCAATGGGTGGCGTCACTTTGAGTTTTTTAGAAAGGTGAATTGTGTAATATATTTCCAGTGAGGCAAGTATGTGTTCATATGTAAATATAGGAAAGGGGATAGTTGATACAAAAATGTTCCAAACATGCTAGAATTTCTTTCTTCTGTTGGACAACAAGTAAGATATTCTGAAAAATGTTATAAAAAAACAGGCATAGGATTTTTTTGTTCTTACAATGAATGTTAATGGCTTTCCCCCAAAAAATTCTACTGAAATTCTTGTTTTGTGTTCAAGAAAAGCAAAAAAACATTTTAGAATCACTTAAATGTGTAAGAAATGTAACATTTTGTATGAACTCTTCCCTTTAAATATTTTGCGGCATTTTGCTCTAAGCCGCTATCTCAGTAAGGGCAAACAATGACACATGAGCCCATTGTGAAACTTTTCCATCGTTTATTTTCATCACATCGTGATCCATCATATCAGTAAAATAGCTTCATTGCTAATCAGTAGCACCAGTCACCACATACAAACCCACGGTCTGAAAATTGTTTCCTCTTCCCTTCCTTGCCTCACCTACTACCTTAGCTGCCTTAAATCCTGACTTGCATTGATCGAATAAAAGTCTTCATTCACAAAATCAAAACAATAAAGGAAATACTCAAACATGAATAATATCAAAGTCTCTTTAAGGCAAGTCATTTCACTCAGCGGCCATCTTTGAAACACCTCTCAGGCAGTATGCTCGGGCATTCTGTCTGAATGGGGAAACAACATGAAATTCTCCAAAACACTTTGCCAAGCTTATGATTACATTACATATTTGAAATCACCAATAAAATTAAACAACAACTGTGTCATAAGTTTTATTTCTAAACATTCAAATTAAACAAATTTGGCATTTTTTCAGGTTGCCCGAGCTAATGCGCATGCGCCCCTGAAAGGAATGGGATCATGACACCAACCTCTTTTATTGCCTTTCTACACATTATAATCCCCTTAATAATCGCGCTGGTCTTCTGAATTAATTATAATCCCCCTAATAAATATTTCACAACTTGGTCTTGATGGCGAATCTCCTCCAGAAATGAAAGCGACTCTCTGTATACAAGTTTGTGGGCGTTTGAGTAGTTGCTGCTGTCATGTGATGTGTGTTTGATACGGACATGCTGTACCCCGCGTTCGTTTCATACAGATTGCAATCCAGAAACCTTTTGTTTTCTAGTGTAGTGGGTTCATTTTATTTCGTATGTCTGTGAAGCAAGTATTCACTGAGATTCCAGTGTGTTAGTTGACCACATACACTGCTGTAAAAGCACACGTCTAGTCTGACGTCTAGTCTGAGCTTCTCCCCTGGAGAATCGTCAGTCTATATCGATCGATGATTGGCTCTTCTGCTAGTAGGCAGGGCTTCATTCGCCATATTGATGTTACACTTTTCCCCATTCAAAACTATACGAGCGACACGTTTTGTTTAATCTATAGTCTTATAAAACACAAGTCACAATAAAGCAAATACTTAAACATAAATAATATACAATAATTATCAAATATTCATTCATTTTCTTTTTGGCTTAGTCCGTTTATTAATCAGGAGTTGCCACAGAGGAATTAACCGCCAACTTATCCAGCATATGATTTACGCAGCTGATGCCTTTCTAGCCGCAACCCAATACTGGGAAACACCCACACACTCTTGCATTCACACACATTCACTACAGCCAATTAAGCTTGCCCAGTTCACCTGTACCGCATGTCTTTGGACTTGTGGGGAAACCGAAGCACCCGGAGAAAACCCACGCAAGCATGCAAACTCCACACAGAAATGCCAACTGACCCAGCAGGGGCTTGAACCAGTGACCTTCTCGCTGTGAGGCGATTGTGCTACCCACTGTGCTACCGTGAGACCTATTATCAAATATAAACTTAATAATAATCAGATCATCAAAGTGATTTATTCAGTCCAAACCTAAAAATAGAAAAAAGGAATGAATAAATGAGTTATTTAGAGCAACAGCTGAAAATTTATAGCGACAGGTTTGTGATCATTTGTGATCACTTTGTGATCATTTGTTGAAACACGGAATCACTAAAAAGCTTAGTTTAATTCTTAAAATTTAGGAAGTATGCACACCTTTTAATCAAAATGTTTTTTGTTTTGTATTAGTTTTCTGATAATGTTGTTTAAATTCCTCTTCATGTTCATGTACAAAGCCTTCTGTTAGTAGATAATGGCAAGGCCAGTTCATCACTCCGCTTTTACATTCTGTAACTGGATCTCTTGTTTTGTGAGGGAATGCATTATAGTAATCAATACTGCTGGTGTGGTAAAGCCCGGTAAAGTAAACTTTCCATTTTAAAAGCCTATGCTGAGAAATCCTTGAGTCATTAGAAGTATGTAAGGCTATGTGTCATGCACTCCTATTATCAACCACTTGCACCTTTTGCATAAATAGCTTTTGACTCACCCAGTGTTGGGAACTAGACTGTTGTTACACACGAGGACAAACAGCATTATTTAAAACAATATCACAGCTGTCATGGCCTTGGAAAGTGCTTTGTTGTTCAGAAACCCTCTGTTGCTGATTCACTGTTGCTGATTCACACTTTTTACAAATCACTTCTGTCAGGTTCAGCCTTCAACCAGCTTTTATTGAGAACTTTTTGAATGTCATGAAAAGATGAAAATCAAAAGAAAGCTGGCTAACACCACAGTAAAGTTTCGTTTGTTAATTAACATTAGTTAAAGGCATATTAAGAGATCTTGGTGAATGCTAATGTTAGGTGTTAATGTGTGGTTTTATTATTGAGACCCGCTGTGTGCAATATTGCCGCTACTGATTGTTTACGTTTGCTGGGAGGAATTATTTCAGAATGCGGGATAGTGACAGTGTCACAGATGGATGACTTCAAACTCCAGGGGAGTTTTCTTTTATGTTGGGCGCATCTTCATTGTCGTTCAGTCTGACATTATGACAGCTGAGATCTTACAGCAGGGGTGCCCAAATTCGGTCCTGGAGGGCCAGTGTCCTGCTGAGTTTAGCTCTAACTTTAACACACCTGCCCGGAAGTTTCTAGTATATTTAGTAAGAGCTTGATTAGCTGGTGCAGGTGTGTTTGATTAGGGTTGGAGCTAAACTCTCCAGGACACTGGCCCTCCTGGACCGAGTCTTACAGTGTGACATGGGAGCCATGTTCATGCAGTCTAACATGCTGCAATCGTTTAGAATAAAAAAAATTTAAAAAATCGCAGTGTGAGCCGGCCTTAAGTTGCTATTTTTGCCCCATTGACTTCCATTATAACCACACTATTTGATCGCAAAACCGTGACACCATCTCATCATGCATTCTTGGTTGTTGGTGGTTTTCTTTATAATTTGAATTCCAAAGAATACCACCCACAATTATGAATGCATGATGATATGGTGTCACAGATTTGCAATCAAAAAATGTTGCTATAATAATCAACATGGGACAAAAACAGCCACCAACATAATGAAAGAGTTGTAAATTTGCCCAGAGTGTACTGTTGAGATTTTAAAAAATTGCATAGCATTTCTCAAAATACAGTTGAGGTCAGATTTATTGACCCTGTTTATTTTTTTTCCAATTTCTGTTTAACGTAGAGAAGATTATTTTAACAAATTCCTAAACAAAATAGTTTTAATAACTCATTTCTAATAACTGATTTAATTTATCTTTGCCATGATGACCTCGATGGCTTTTCAAGACACTTCTTTACAGCTTAAAGTGACATTTAAAGGCTTAACTTGGTTAATTAGTTTAACTAGGCAGGTTAGGGAAATTTGACAAGTTTTCGTATAATGATGGTTTGTTCTGTAAACAATATGCTAAAAGGGGCTTATAATTTTGTCCCTAAAATGGTTTCATAAAAATGTAAATCTGGTTTTATTCTAGCCGAAATAAAGCAAATAAGACTTTCTCCAGAATAAAAAAATATCATCAGACATACTGTGAAAATTTCCTTGCTCTGTTAAACATCATTGGGGAAATATTTTAAAAAGAAGAAAAAATTCAAAGGGGGCTAACAATTCTGACTTCAGCTGTATGTATCAAAATAAGATTTGTCACCAAAAATAATTTCATTTGCCAAAACACAGAGAAAGTTATAGCAAATTAAGACTTAAAATCAACCCAGATTGGATGAAAACCTCCCCAAAAGCACGGGTGAAAGTTACATTGGACCCTTCAATCGCTATCCAAAGCCATGCCTTCTGAACGCATGAATGCACATTTGACAACAACTTTATAGTACAGTTATTCATTACCATACTAAACTCAAAGAAAAGAAAGTCAATTGTTGATGTTTGCTTGTCATTTCTCAGTGAACTGTTTTTGTGAACACACAGATGACGTTATCTTTTCTGAGCAAACAGGGTGTGCAGAGGAATGCAATTACATATATTGACAGGCACATAGGACAGCCTATCATAATGTACAGGGCAAACATTTTGATTGGACCAACTTTTCTTGGTCCTACATCTTCTACAGAGTAGATTTAAATAAATTTGGCCTATTTAATTTAATGATTACTATTTGGATTTAAAGAGACTCAACCAGAATAAAAAAGGTGTTTCTGATGACCTGAATCACCTGTTGCAACTTTTAAGGACACTTCTAATAATATAATAATCCTGTAATAAAGTTGGTAATTTCAATACTGTACATTGTTATTATCAAACCTTGTATCTCTTAATGTTAAAGGAACCTGATCTATATATATATATATATATATATATATAAATGCTGTAACTAATATATTGCTATTTAAAGTTCAACTGAATTAAAACTTGTTATTAACTATTAGGACCTTTAACATTTTGAGGTGTTACTAAAATTGTAGTGTAAATGAAGATATTAACATATATCATATTAAGTATTTTTTAAAATATTAACATATATTTTAGCATACACTGCCTGTTATATGTTTAAAACTAATTATTTTATTTGCATATTTTATTTTGAATTTTTATCGTTTATTTGTTGTGTTTATCAGACTCAGTCACCAAGGCTGTAAATATTTGAATACAAATACAATAAAATTGTGCAATATTCATTCACTCATTTTCTTTTCGGCTTAGTCCCTTTATTAACCCTGGGTCGCCACAGCGGAATGAACCGCCAACTTATTCAGCACATGTTTTACGCAGCAGATGGCCTTCCAGCTGCAACCCATCATGAACATGAATACATATTAAAATTTATTCCTGTGTTTCAAAGTTTTCTGCATCATTACGCCAGTTCCTCCAGAAATCATTCAAATTGGCTGATTTGCTGCTGTTTTCTGATCAGGTATTATTGGTGTTCAGTCATTAATAATAGCTTTTATTATTATCAATGGTTAACAAATGTTAGCTTCGTATATTTGTGGTAACCATAATGCCTAATATGTTTCATAATTGTTTGATGATTAGAAAATAGCAGCATTTATTTGGTATAGTTTATTTAATAATTGTGGGGGTTGCACAGTGGTTTTGGGTTTCCTCCGGGTACTCCGGTTTTCCCCACAGTCCAAAGACATGCACTTATAGGTGAATTCAAGAAACTAAATTGGCTATAGTGTATAAGTGTGTGTAAATGAGGGTGTGTGGGTGTCTCCCAGCACTGGGTTGCAGCTTGAAGAGCATCCGCTGTGTAAAACATATATCAGAATATTTGCCAGTTCATTCCACTGTGGCGACCTCTGAAATAGAGACTAAGCAAAAGGAAATTGAGTGAATTTAATAATAGTATACAGATAATACATACAATAGCGCACCTTCCCCCATTTAATATGTATTTTTTCAACTTATCCTGGGACAATTCCACGCTAACCGATATGATATCTTTCTCATGTGCTTAATCAGGTGTGAATGAGAGTATAAAGTTTCACTGCGAGGCCAAGAACGCTCGAGGCATCTCCGTGTCCCGCACAGGCACTGTGCACATTAAAGGCAAGACATACCACTGCACTTTACATTCTTATGGCATAACTTACATTGTTCTGACTCAGCATAAGTGCATTGAAAATTATTATTTAGTTATTGGTTTGTTTTTGCCAGTAATCCATCATACATTTTACGTACTATATCAAACGGTGAGTAGGTAAATACAAATATAATGTTTTTCATTAAATGCGTATTGTTTTTTTATGTACAGCCCGGCCTGATTCCCCTCGGGACGTACAGGTTCATCATGTGTCGGATTTTAACATAACTTTAACATGGAGTCCAGGTTTCACTGGGCATTCGCAGCTTTCCACCTGCACTATACAGGTAGAGTATTTAATATTTGTTTAGTATTTGATTGAATTACATGCCATCATATGACCCGATAGTCTTAAGGGGTACACCGTAATATAGACACCGTTGCCTTGAATCGTGCTCAGGTGTGAATATCCCCGCTCGCCTCTCCTTCTCGGTCTGCACTCACAAAGCAATTTTACCTCCCGTGCCCAAGCACGTTTACATCATTGATGATGCAGCTGTTCAGTTTTGAATAGAAACACTCTCACTCCATACAATGGAGATTGCTTTAGTTATATTGTTTTGTATTTTTTTCAGCAATTTGGGATGCGACGACACAAAAATTTTCTTGAAAGTCATCGTGCTGCATGTATTAGGAGGATTGCTGAAGGTGGCAGCTGGCGTGCAGCTAGGGGTTTGCATCTTTAATAAACTATGACACTTTGCATTCACTGAAAAGTAAGAATGATTAATAAATCCATATGAAATAGTCCCTTAAAAGTGATGTTGTCTTCAGTTTCGTGCTCAGGTATACTTTGCACTTACACTAAAGCCCAACCAAACCATTCTCCAGACCACTTTTTCCAGTCAGGCTTGGGCCGGCCAACTGAACCACGCCTGGGCACGATTCGGAGCACTCACACTTGTCAAATGAACCAGGAAATTGACAATACATGTGCAAACATTACTCACATATTACTTGCTGCGTTTAAAGTGCGTAGCATTATTTACATTGAAACATAAATATATCTGATTCAGTGTGATGGCTGAGCCTGTTTCTGTGAGGACAACATGGTTGGATTCCTGACACGACTAACCGTAAATCATCTTTCACTGTCAATAAGCATGAGCCAGAGCATACTTGCTTTTGATGTACGTACATATAGAAATTGCTGCTTCGCAAAGCCAAGATCACAAAGCCCTGAAAGTGTGGTTGAGTCGAACATTAAGTATGGATTCATGGGCAACAATACTTTAATAAGATTTTAATAGGATTAAAACAAGTAGATTAAGAGTCTACCATGTAAACAGCGATTTTTGATTGCTTTAATCTGAATACAGTCATAACTAAACTAAACAGAAATGGAATAAAGACATGTGGAGTATGCATATATTAGTGGCATTAATGAAGTAAACACTGCAATCAAACTATTACCGTCATGTAGGACTTTTCGCCATATTTTCCCACAAGATCCACGCACAGTGTTGGCAGATGTAGCTGACTGATTCCAGCCCAAAAACTATCCAAAACCCGTCGAAATGAAAAAATACCCACCCAGTCTGTAATCACGAAAGGTGGGTGGAGGGGTGGGTGTTGTGATGATCGCGAGAACAAATTGGAGGGGGGGGGGGACAAGCGTTCCGTTGCAAAAACACCCAAACTTTCTATACTCACCTATGTCATTTTATACATGCACAATCGTATTCAAAACCGCCTAATCTGGCAACACTGTCCATACATGCGACTGTCAGTAAAGTACCGCACACACACACATCGCAAAATGCAAAAGTTTTTCTTCTTTCCATTTGGCGTTAGTTTTTAAATTCCAAAACACTTTCATCAGTTTACTCATTATTTGCGTCTAATATCCCAGTTTGTCACGGGGGCATGAATGAAATGTTCATGTGTTAAAGTTAAACTGCCGAACTGCAGTTAAAGTCACCCAAAATTGTATTAAACTCTTACATGAAAGCACTTCACGTAAACACCTTAATTATATTATTGTCTATTACGACAAATAACTAGATTACTGATGTCAATGTAAATATAATCAGTATGTCTTCAAAGTTAGTTTGGATGACGCGACAGCAGCCATTTTGTGCCAGACCAGCTGATTGGTGGAGAGGAGACAGAGTGATGAAGCCAATTATCATATGGGGAGGGTTAGAGGGACATGATGTGCCAGTGGGCAGAATTGGCCAGGTTAAACCCCTACTCTTTTCGAAGGACATCCTGGGATTTTTAACAACCACAGAGAGTCGGTACCTCGGTTTAACGTCTCATCCGAAAGACGGCACTTACTGAGCAGTATAGAGTCCCCGTCACTATACTGGGGCATTAGGACCCACATAGACCGCAGGTTGGGCGCCTCCTGCTGGCCTCATTAACACAACTTCCGGCAGCAACCTAGCTTTCCCATGTGGTCTCCCAAGCAGGTACTGACCAGGCCAGCAGCTTCAGTGGGCGATCATGTAAGAGTTGCAGAGAGCTAGCTACCGTCATTCACCTTCATTTATTTTAAAAAGCACACGGTCCATTTTATTTGCATATATTTTACTCAAACGCATTAACTCTATGTGTGCCTGATAGTTAGATGTGGAGCTAACATTAATCAGATCGTCATCATAATTTACTCGAGTGCACGTATCAATGTCTCGCGCCCCCCCCCCCCCCTAAGAAATTTGTCTTATATTCAGTGAGCATATCTGTAATGTATTTAGGTCATACATAGGCCATTTAGTGATTTATAGACAAGTAGTTATACTTTGAAATATATTCTGAATGTAACTGGGAGCCAGTGTAAAGACCTGAGGGAAAAAGTTCTGAGGGAAAAAGTGAGAATTGTGAACGGTCATTTTTATGTTTATGCTGCTACAGAAATGAGTATCCATGCCTCATTAAATAAACACTTAGCAAACGTAGTTCCTGTTCAGATTATTAGGATTGTAATCCATCTGTTTGCAGTTGTCAAGGGGACCTGGAAAGAAGGTCAAGCTTCCTGATGTGGTTGTGGAAGTTCCTCCATTCCAGCACGTGTTTGAAGGGCTTCGCAGCTACTCGAATTACAGTGTGAGAGTCCGGTGTGATAATGAGGTGGGCTCTTCCCCCTTCTCTCCCTGGGTGGACTTTCACACTCCACAGGCAGGTATGGCAAACATTAGATAAGGTAATGACATTATGCATGCATGTTAATGTGGTCAAATGAATATAAATGGCCTTTTATTGTAGCCTGAAGGGCACTTATATCATTCAGACATTTGAAGGATTAAAACGAAATCAGCTTGCAATTGTATTCAAAAAGTAAACATTTTATCAGTTCTTCCATTCCTCAGGAATCAAATCCAAGACCTTGGCATAGCTAGTTCAGTGCTATACTGTTTGAGTTACAAAATGACAAAATAAAAAGTTGACATTGGCATGGAAAACCTGTAAATTTTAAATTAATCGCTAAATATATTAAGGCGTTTATTAAAAGTACTCAGTGTTATTATTTTGTTTTGTTGTTGTTTCACAACATCACATCGGCATCTCACAAAACGCCACAAAAGAGATATAAGCAACAAACACTCATTTGATCACTTAAACAATAATCTCCACTAAGCATACGCTGGGAATCGAGAGAGAGCGGGAAGCCATCAAATCCATGCTTTCTGCAGGTTTATATACAGCCGCCGCCAATCCAATCGCCAATCATGATCTGACCCAATGTAATCCGCTGCACCTGCGAATACTTAGAAATGAAAGTGAGAACGAGAGAAAGAGAGCGAGAGAGAGAGAAAAAGAGAGAGAAGGAAAGAAACACCACACACAAGCCCACACTACACTACAACTACTCGTAACAATTACATATAAAGTAAGTGGCGGTTCATTCCACTATGATAAACCAGGGAAAAAGCAGGAGGAAAATCAATGAATGAAATCTGTCAAGTAAGTGCATTAATCAATAACATTAATACTGACATTAATTAAATCAAAACAATCCGTTGTCATTTCTGATATTTGGGATTTAGATTTAATGTAAGTAGAGCAATGTAAACATTGCAAACATTGTAAACTAAGCTTGGTAGTTTCAAATAAGTGATGAACAAATTTCGGGAGGAGCACGCGCAGAAGTTTCAGCATTAAATACGTCATTGACAATTATTCTATTATCCAATCAGTTCTTGACCAAACCCCTATATATGCCAAAGTTGTCTTACCTGCAGTATCTCATGACTTTCGCATCCCTCCACCACCCTGACACCTCACCTCTTAAGAATTACATTCCCCGGGGGAAGCGTTCTAGGGCCGGGCTAGATACTTTGCTCGAATCTCAACTCCTCTCTATTCCCTGACAAGGGGATTAACACGAGTTGGGGCGTCCTCCCCGAGCTCAGAGCCCTCTCCCCGGACAGCACGCCAAATACGCCTTATTCTTAAATGATTGCAAGTGTGAACTCGTCAATGTAGTGTGAAACATTGTGAAACATCGATATCTGTGCATTGTTCATTAATCTAAAAAGTTTATCAGATCTATAGGTATTATAAAGTAATATGAATAATGTATAGTTTTATATATTATATTTATCTTTTTAAAAACAGCTTACATTAGCAAATAAAACACAAGGTAGGCCTACTGGGCAAAAAGGGAATGTCTCTCAAACACTTTTAAAAGCTGTCATTTATTCATTCTTACTATACTCAAGATTTTGGTCTTTTTTTTTCGTCTCTTTTTTTATCCTCATAGCATCCATGCGAGATAAAAGAAAGGGATCTTAACTTCATCTTTCGTGAAACGCAGTTGCTGTTTAATGTATGTTAAATCGGAGGTATCGTCACTGCGCAAAAAAACGTTATGAATGCGTTACACTTCAAACTGTTCAGTTTTTCTTATAATGCAGAGTTTTGAGGTAAGGGACGTTTTCATTTGCCATTCACTGACAGGCTCATTCAGTTCATCAAACTCCGTCTTTAAGAATTGAAAGCGGAAAAAGCAGGCGTATCAGCACGCCGTTACATTGAAAACACGATTTGATTTGCGCCTTCTGGTTGGTTCTCGGGATATAGCGGCTTTTGCTGCTGAAGGCAAGGGGCGTTTAGCGGCTTTTGCCAACAAACTGTTATTTCCGAATGCGGTGATGCTTGGATTTGGACGATTTGAAGCAAATTTATTTGTTGATGGTGTACTACATGCCTAAAGCATTCACTCAATGTCATTAGCTCATTGTTGATGGAAGTGGCGTTTAGCGGCTTTTGCATCTGAACTCTTCATATTTCTTTTTTCGACACATGAAATCCCTTTATAGGATTTCTGAAGGAAGCAGATACGAGTCTTCTGCATATAACTTGTATCTTGTATCACCTGCTATTAATGTACCATTGTTTTAATACCTTTATATTTTATGTGTATGTACATTTATTTATTTATTTAAGTACTTGTAATTGTAATTTTTTATTATTGTTATTTATTTATTTATTGATACATTTTTTTTTTTATAATTTTGCATGTTTTTTTCTTTTCTTTTGTATGTTAAAAGTTCCTACAAAACTAATCAACACTGTTTAAAAAAGGTTATACTTAAAACAGATCACTCGAGTACAGCAAATATCTTGATGTAAATTAATCTGTCTTGATCTCTTTTATTTTTAATTTCATTCGAATTTTTTATCTGGTCATCCCCTACTTTGTGCGTGCGTGCGTGCATGCATGCGTGTGTGTGTTAAGAAGAAAAGAAGTAAGAAAGGAAATTGCATTTACAGATGTCAGATCCATCCTGAAGGAAGCTTATAGTTTTCAGCACATAGTTTGCTGCATACGTCACTACATGATTAGGTTACTAATTAAAGCTGACACATTTATTTCTAAACTGTGACTCCATTTGATGAGTTCAAAGTTCTGAAAGGGACAGTGTTGAGAGGGATGAACATTTTTAAGATTCCATCAGGAATAAAACAGTTCTGACCAGCATTTTTTTGGGCTGGAAGTAAACAAACAGCCCAGAGAGCCGTTTCTGGCCAGATGCCTGGGGTGAGGGGGTTTTGAAAGAGGAGGATGGGTTTGAGGAGCAGAAGGGGTTTCTGAAGTTGACCCTGTTTGCATGTTTGTAAACTGGTAGCACTGGCTGCAGTCCAGTGGATTCCAGGCTGAGTCGTACAATGCGCCATTGTGTGTGTCCCCAATCCATTTCAATGCACTGCTGTTGCATACTGACAGAGTCGAATATATGTCCACCTACTGGCCAACATGGGCACTGCAGAGTCTGCTTCCAAAATGGACAACGTGAAGTAAGCCTTGTCGAATATGATTTTACCCATACTCAAAATTGGTCCTTTGCTTTTAAACCATCCAAGTGCACACACACATATTAAGTGAAGACGGTGAACATGCCCAGTGGGTAGCTATTGCTTCCAGCTGCCGTAGAGCAATTAGGGGTTAGTCGCCTTACTCAGGGGCATCTCAGCTGGGTATCGAAGATGGAGAAAATGCAGTTGATGCTTCCCATCTTATGTTCAGTACCATTAGGCCACAACTCACCCTGATCCCCCTCCTCAAAATCCCCTAAAACAATTTTGAGTGCCCAGAAAAGCACTACATAAATGTAATAAATTATTATTATTTTTTAGGCCTGTCACAATAATCAATATATCGATTTATCGCACAACACATGGAAATGACCTCAATCATTATTGGTGATGCAATATTTATCGCCCATACAAAAAACCAATTCTAGCAACATTTTAGATGATTGTGCAACATCTCTATCTCTATCAGAGGTGTCAGTGTCAGTATGGTTAAAAACACTATAGTATTTACTATAAATTACCATAGTATATTTTCATGTGGGTGTCTGGTAACTGAAAATAGATCTGGTAGCAGATATCGCAGCCTCTGTTATTGCACTTTTGCACTTTTCTGTTAACATTTGTTATTATTTATTTGTTTAGATATACAGTTTCACATTCTGATTCCAAGTGTTTAAATGACTAAAATTAAATGAAATATTCTTAAGAATAAAATATGATATGTTCTTTGGAGGAGTGTACTCGCATTGTGATGATATTATATTGTCATTCTGGCATTATATAATATTAGTGGCATAAAATGGTCTTCAAAAAAAAACAATCACAATATGTTTTAGTGCAATATATCATACAACAAAAATAGATATAGTGACAGGCCCAATATTACTAATATTGTTATTAAAACTCTTGTTTGATTTTGTTCACTTATTAGTCAAAGGTTTTTACAAAGTATATTTTGTGAATCTTTTTTCACTTCATAATTTAGACAAATTGAATTTTTTTTTTTTTTTGGTAGAAGAAAATGCTGTTTCAAAAACAATATTATGATATGAATAAAACTGTGAAACCACTGAAGGGGAGATTTATGGATTTGTGCAGGAGAATAAATACACCCTTTGAAAGTATTTACAGTTGAAATCAGAATTAATAAATTCCTTTGAACTGTTTTGTTTTTTAAATATTTCCCAAATTATGTTTAACCGAAAAAGAAAGTTTTCACAGTATGTCTGATTATATTATTTCTTCTGGAGAAAGTCTTATTTGTTTTTTTCTGCTAAAATAAAACCATTTTTAAAAAAAAAACATTTTAAGGTCAAAATGATTAGCCCTTTTAAGTTATATATATATATATATTGATAGTCTTTAATTGATTTATTTGGGCTGTAAAGAAGTGTCTTGAAAAATATTTTGTCAAATATTATTTATTGTCATCATGGCAAAGATAAAATAAATCAGTTATTAGAAATGAGTTATTAAAACTAATATGTATAGAGATGTGCTCTAAACATCTCCAGAAACTTATCATCTCTAGAAACATCTCTCCGTTAAACAGAAACTGGGGGAAAAAATACACAGGGGCCTAATAATTCTGACTTCAACTGTATTGTGAGTGAAATCTACAGACATGGATTGAGCTAAAGTGTATTTTAGATGTTCTTTTTCCATCTGACTGAAAAAAAAAGCCCAAAATATCAAAATGCCTTCAAAAAAACACGGTTTTTGCCAACAATAGCTGTTTCCATCTATAAATAAATTAACATGCAAAACTGGAATATCGCATAAAAGACATGCAAATAATGCAGCGTTTCCATTCAACGAGTCAAAGAGAAAAAAATCGTCACTTCCTGATTATCTGGTGCAGTAAACTGTTAAAACTAAATTCACTGTGGTAGGAGAAGCTGCGTGAATCTTTTCTTTATGAACAGGTAGTAGCGTTTGAAGGCGTGAGATGCAGAGCACAGACGCTTTTGATTCTGGAGGTAATTAATAATCTAAAAATCACTAATGCTGAAATGGTTAAGACATTTTAGAATGACTAAAACAAAATTTTCCAATGTTTTACAATGTGCTCAGATGGCTGGTTTGTCCATTCACACACTTTTATCATCACATGATCTCTTATAACAAAATCACAAGACTTTTTTAATGCACATACTGGAATTTGTTCGGTAAAAGTGTTTCCATTGTAGTTTATGCACATCTTTTCTTATCGAATAAAAAAGTTTATCCTACTCATTTATTTTCAAAACTTAGGCGCATCTTAGCGTTTCCATCCTTTTTTATGCGCATCTCCAAAGTGCGTATAAAAATAGGTGGATGGAAACGTAGCTATTGTCTTTCCTTATCCCTCTTATCCAGTAAGAATGTAGTGCTTTCCTGTAAATTTTAAGTCCATTCCAGAGGTTTGGTCTTATCAGAAAAACTGGCTATGACTTCATTTATTGTCATGCAGAGGCGTTTGACTCATATTTATGTCTGTACGGTGCAGTTGACCCTCTGCATGCTAATTTTGCTTTTACTGTTTTCATATCTTCCATGTGCAGCACCGTCAGCAGCTCCAAAGAACTTTACCTTTGACCTCAGCGAGCAGCAGCTCACTCTGTCCTGGGCGACGCTGGAACAGGAGGAGCTTCGAGGAAGATTACTGGCTTATAAACTGCAGTGGAACCAAGGAGGAGAGAGTCAGGTACGTCATTAAGAAGAAAGGCACGATTACAGAGGAAGTTTTGCAACACTGACACTGTTGTTGAACTGAATTGAATCAGCATCGAGTCCGAACTGACCCGGATAATGACAATGAAGCTTTTTTGCTAAAATTAATTAATTTAATTTATGGATATTGTTATTAAATTAAATTTAATCCACACGTAATCTGAACTGAGCTGAGTAACACTATTTACACTAAATTGAATTTATGACACTGTTGTTGAACTGAACTGAATCAACAGCCAAACTGAGCTGAATAAAGACAATGAAGCTTTGTAGCTAAAGTGAATTCATTTCATTAATGGACATCATTATTAAACTGAACTGAATTAACATTGAGTCTGAACTAAGCTGCATAATGACAATGAAGCTTTGAAGCTAAATTGAATTAATTGAATCAACACTGAATCTGAACTGAGTTACACTATTTACACTAAACACTAAATTGGATTTAGGACATGGTTGTTGAACTGAACTGAATCAACACTGAGTCCGAACTGAGCTAAATATTGATAATGAAGCTCTGAGCTAAACTGAAACAACTTCATTAATAGACTTTCACCGTTTGAGGTGGGGAAAAGGAGTGAGGACTCAAGTGCAAGGAAATGATGGGTATTTATTGATAAAAAAGAAAAAGAAAAACAGCAAAACAAACTACCCCGAGGGGGAAAATATTAATAAAACAAATAAACAAACAAACAAACCAACAAACTAGACTGGACAGGCTGGCAAACTGGAAAACAGGACAAGACAGGAAATGATGACATCTGATGACGAACTGGCACAGGACAGCAGACATGAGGAGATTTTATGCAGACGTACATTAACACAAACAGATGAACATAATTAACTAATAATGGGGTAACAAGGAGGGTGGGACTAGACAATAGACGGGAGAGCGCATGACACAAAGAGACATCACAAGCCATGCGCTCACATAAAACAGGACAAGAACATGCAGCCAATGAGAGAACTCATTAACCGCATGTTCATGACAACACAAGCACGACACTGAAGCACACGACAAAAGCACGTGACCACAATGTAAACATAGAGCCATGTGCTTTCACAACAGACGCAAGACACGAGCGCACGATAGATAAACACCTTACCGGGCGCTCACACATATGCAACGTGCATGCTTCATCTCAGCGTCAACCAAAACCGAAAGCAACTAGACGAAGACGCTGAGAATGAAGCAGCACGATGCTGACAGAACAACACAAACACGAGTACAGAAACAAGTGCTCGACCCAAGAAAACTCGAGCAGAGCACAACAGGACAGGACTAGACATGACTAGTGTCCGGACTCTGCCACCAAAACAAGAATTTACATGACCAGAGTGGCAGAACCCTGACATAGACATCATTATTAAACTGAATTGAATCAATGCTGAATCTGAACCGAGTAACACTATCAACACTAAATTGAACCTTGCAAAATTTCCAAGTTTTATTGAGCTAAACAGCATCAACATCTAATCTAATTTAATCTAATTTAAGCTGAACGATGACACGGTTTTCCTCTGTGAACCTCCTCTTATCTAAATTAGACATTTTTTGATGAACTTTGAAATATTGTCACTATTATTCAAGTAAACTGAATCAACAATGAATCTGAACTTCTCCAAATAATAGCACATTTTCTTGTAAAGCTGCATGATAGCTAAATTTAGGTGATTAATTTGCAACATCGACACAATAATGACTTGACAAACAATTAAGTGAAATAGTTAGTTCAAGTTTTTATCATTTATGACAAAAGGGCTATTCAATTGCCGGCCCACGGGGCAATTTGTTCCGGCCCTCCAAATAGTGTGACCAAGACATCAAAAATAAATTCAGTTCAGTCGAAAAATGTCCGCTATAGTTATGATTAAAATTAATTAACTAAAAAAACTAATTAATTTTGTTAGTTAATAATTAATTAACTAACAAAATTAATGTTGTCCTTAGATGCTGACTAGACATAATTTTGGTCATCACGACCTAAATTTAACCTAGTATTAACGTTTTTGAAATTATATGTATGTCTGCTGGGTAGCTGCGTTGGAATGAAATATAAAGCAATAACTGATATTTTTAAAAATAAAAACCCCTAAATTTGTGAAAACATTTTTACTCTCAGTTGAGGTGGTTTTTTTACATAAAGGGGTAGGGCAAATAATGGGAGATTGAACCCCTGATATTGATAATATGTCTTTTTGATTTCATTTGATTGTCTTTTTATCACTTTTAAGAGCTCCCACTTCAATTCTAGACATCTATTTTTATAGGATCCCTTACTGTTTAAGGAGAATGTTGCCCATCTTTCGGGTGCAGGGCGCTTCTTTAACGCCACCTTCCAGGTTGCAGCGTGCACAATGGCAGGATGTGGCCCGTGGAGTCAGCCTGTTCTTGTTATGCCTGTGTCAGGTCAGTCCTCTATCATTGTCTCTCCTCCTGCTGTTTAGAGGTGGGAAATCTGCTGTCACTGCAGCTTTTTTTTGTGACCACAATTTTACATAATGCACCTCTCTGAGAGCCGGTGTGTGATCATTGGCTGTTGGTGATTATGCAGGAATGGCATCTCTTCAGGCACTTTTGAGCAGAAGTGGTGTTTAACGCTCTTGTTGTCTGCTTTCAGCCATGCAGGCTCAGACACAGAGGGGCCACATGTGGGTGGGCCTGCTTTTCGGGCTTCTTGTGGCCACCATGGTGGGACTCTTGTTGATTGTATTGATACGAAACCGAGGCAAAGAGACACAGTTTGGGTATGTTTTTCAATTAACATTTACTGCCTAAAGGCTTCTTTCCACATGGTGTTAAAGTGGTAGTTCACCCAAAAATGAAAATTACCTCATTATTGACTCTCCCTCGTGAGGTTTTAAACCTTTCTTTTATCCGTTTAACACAAAAGAAGATATTTTGAAAAACGTTGGTTAATGGCACCCATTGACTTCCATAGTAGGAACAAAAATGCTATGGAAATCAATGGGTGCTATCAACAAGTAAAGGGTGAGTAAATTCATTCATTTTCCTTCGGCTTAGTCCCTTTATTCATCAGGGGTTGCCACAATGGAATGAACCGCCAACTTATCCAGCATACGTTTCACGCAGCAGATGTCCTTCCAGCTGCAACCCATCTCTGGGAAACATCCATACACACTCATTCAAACACATATGCTATGACCAATTTAGCTTACCCAATTCACCTATAGCGCATGTCTTTGGACTGTGGGGGAAACCGGAGCACCCGAAGGAAACCCACACAAACATGGAGAGAACATGCAAACTCCACACAGAAATGCCAACTGACCCAGCTGAGGCTCGAACCAGCAACTTTCTTGCTTGGAGGTGATTGTGCTACCCACTGCGCCACCGTGACGGCCTTACATAGACATTTGGGCATTAATAAAATGTAGTCGATGGCTGGAGGAATAGGAAAATCCAGGAGCTCTCCACTCCCAGCAACAGTCGCAGCAAAAATAAACTTCTCAAACTCTGCTGGACGTTCTCTTTTTATAGCTCTTCGCGAGCAGCAGCCAATCAGAAACTGGACCATATTGACAGGAAAGCCTATGGGATAAGAAAAGGCAACGCAAGAAGGCAAGACAAAAAAAAAATACACATAAATTCACAATAAAGATAAATAGATAAATTTTAGTCGTAACATTACTATATAATATGTGTTAATAAAATTACATCAGTTGAATACTATGAAAATGTAGTGATTCATAGGCAAAATTTATTATTATTGAGTAGTATTTCCCACTACTAAATGATCAGAATTGGGGCTAATTTAGCCCTCGTCGTGGCTGATGCCGAAGCTGTTGCGTACCTCTCAAAAAATTTAATTACACGTCGCAGCGACACATAGCGCAAGCTCTGTGATTGGTCGGCTTGGTATCGCTGACAAGTGTGGGGGCGGTGCTGAGAGCCATGAGCCTGATGGAGCGAGTGTTTACAAGTGTGGAGCCTCATGAAGTAGCTCCAGATGGAAACTTTTGTTTTCCTTATGTTTAATGTTGTTGCATGTCTGCCCATTCTTGCGTCTGAATGAGCGGGTTCTAGCTCTAAGAAAAAAACAAAACACCTGTGACAAAACTTGACACAGAGGAACATAAACACCTGCCAGCTAGCATTTTATAAGTATTATTGCAGAGCAACACAAACAGCACGCAGAAATATAAATGCACAGCTACTCGCAAGCTAGGCGCCGTGGGTGATGCCGATCACTGACGCAGAAGTATAAACCAGCCTTTATTGTTATATTATGTGCCGAAAGTTTCATAATGCACATATACATATAAGAACATTTTGATTTCATTTGATTTATTTATATAATCAGAATTGTTCCTCAATACAAGCATTTTATTTTTAAAAAATGTGTCTGCAGGTCTGAATGAATCATGCTTAATTTATAAAATAGGTGGTTCATTCTGCTGTGGCGACCCCGGATTAATAAAGGGACTTAGCCGACATTTATAAAATATTGACATCAAATATAGTGACTTTAATTATATGTTCTAAATTCTTGTCATGTTGTAGTTTGGGTAGTTTATTTAGGATTTATTTCCAAAATGATGTTTAAAACAGTAATATATGAGTATTTTTTTCATGTTTTCATTGTTTATGTGTAGGTCTGCATTCGCAGCTCAAGGAGCGGAAGTACCGGTTTCCTTCACAGCTGCAAGGTCCTTCAACAGGCAGTTCCCCGAGCTCCCAGAATCCACATGTTGGTGCACATGTTACTCTTACATGCATGACTGCTCTTGCATTGACATCCCACCATACATGTTTGACAGGAAATTAAATAACATTTCGACTCTGTTTCCCTCTAGTGGACAGTCTGGGAATCAACAGTGATTTGAAGGCCAAGTTACAGGATGTTCTCATCTCCGAAAGGCTCTTAACTCTGGGACGCATGCTAGGAAAAGGTACATCATGATTTGGATGTTCGTTTAAGTCTCTTTTGTTGACATTTTGTTTAGAGTGTTTTCAAAGCTCCGGTGATGTAGTAATTTATTTTAAGCTGACACCTCACAACACATGCATTTTATGATGCATTTGTTAAAGCGAGAAGAAAAAAGTTCCCTCCATAGATAAAAATAATTAGAATTATACTATTTATAGTATAAAATAAGCATGTTAGAAGCAGTATGGTGGCTCAGTGGTTAGCACCGTCAACTCACAGCAAGAAGGTCGCTAGTTCGAGCCCCGGCTGGGCTAGTTAGCATTTCTGTGTGGAGTTTGCATGTTCTCCTCGTGTTTGTGTGGGTTTCCTTTGGGTGCCCCCACAGTCCAAAGACATGCACTATAGGTGAATTGAATAACCTAAATTGGCCGTAGTGTGAGAGTGTATGGGTGTTTGCCAGTTCTGGGTTGCAGCTGGAAGGGCATCCAAATGTAATCAAAAAGAAAACCGTTTGTTCACTTGTAAAAATAATTGCACAATACTGCAATTTTTACTGCACTTTTATCAAATGAGCTCAATCTTGGAGTGTTCGAACTATACCGTGGCCTTTGGGGTAGCCCACTGTTTTTTTCTAACGGGGGGTCGCTATGATCTTGAGAGTCCCTTGCCACAATGATGTAGGCTATATCACACACAGGATCCCTGTCCTTAAACAGCAATGTATAAACAAAAATCTATAAATATAAAACTAATATTTATATAATTGTACTTAATATTACAAAGTAGACTTAATAAACAAAACACCACGATAGTTTCGGTTTACTTTCTTGCTAAAAAGCAATTGTTTTCCCATCAGTAACTTTCTTTAACCCTTGAAAATATCTTATTTTTGCATGCACAAACAACAGCAGCCTAAACAACAGAACATCCTTGTCTAATTTTACCTGCAGTGCTTTTGTGAGAGGAATACACTCATTTATATAAAACCAACAAACACAAATATGTTTCACTTGACAATAAAATAAATAACCTCCTCATGTAGCCTATCATTTTTTTATTCGCTCTATAAATTCAAGATGATGGCAACAAGGACAGCATTATGCTTTTTTATTTTACATAGACCTGGAGAACGTCATGGGATCTCACTTTCACTCCGGTAAAACACAATTGTGAATTGGAAAATTAAAGAAACTGAAGGAGGTTCTGTTTTGTTCTGTTTACCTGCTTTCAGCTTAATTGTCCAACATGTTTACACCAATGTCACGGTGTTAAAAAGAACATTGTATTGGCCTACTGCAGGGATCACCAAACTTGTTCCTGGAGGTCCGGTGTACTGCATATTCCAGCTCCAACCCTAATCAAACACACCTGAACAAGCTAATCAAGGTCTTACTGGGTATACTTAAAACACCCAGGCAGGTGTGTTGAGGCAAGTTGCTAAACCCTGCAGGGCACCGGACCTCCAGGAACGAGATTGGTGACCCCTGGCCTACTGTATGAAGCAAATAAAACAAAACACAGTATCACGTCATTTGTTTGGGAAAATGAATAAGCAGTGTCTCAACGTCCATATGAAAGCATCTGGCTGTCAGTCTTTGACATGACTGGACTTTGCTCAGCGGTGCCCCCACACCTTGATGCTCATGACTAGAATAGCATGTGTAGTTATCTTTTTATTTTAAGTGAGGTGTAAATCGCCATCATGCATGCATGAATTCATATTTTTGCACTTTTACACATGATAATCCATGATCACATTACACAATATTGAAGCTCACGTCAAAATAACACATTGTCAGTATTTTTTGAGACCCCCCAAAATTTCACAAATCATGTTTTAAGAGGAGCCCATGCCTTCTTTAAGGGAGCCGAGCTCCCCCTAGCTCCCTAGTTCGCACCCTGCTTGAAGAGCATAAGGGACTTGCATAAATATATATTTGCAGATGAAGAGAGTGGAATTATACAATCTTAAAAAATGCATGTTAGAGAGATAGTTCACTTAAAAATGAAAATCTTCTCACTGTTTACTCACTCTTAACTGGCTCCAAAGCTGTTTGAGTTTCTGTTGAACACAAAGGAAGATATCCATAGTTGGAAAAACAAATACCGTCGAAGTCAGTGATGTTCATCAGAAGAAAAAAACTCAAACAGGTTTTGAACAAGTGAAGGGTGAATAAATGAACACATTTTTTTTGTCTGAACTGGAGAGATTGTATACAGGTTAACCCAAAGAATGAGCAGTCTGTCAGATGAAGAAGAGCCGGAGTCAGAGATTGAAATAAATAAATAAATAAATAAATAAAGTTTACTGAAGATAATTAGCAGTTTCATCAGCAGAAGCTAGCTTCAACACTCACAATGAGTTCCTAGGCCGCTCTGCTTACAATCACAAATCAATAACAATTATACTCTCACATAACATCAGTAACTGCGTCATACATAAAGGTGTTCTAACTTGATTGGTTAAAACAGAGATGTAATGTGTATTTATATAGCGCATTTATTGTGTAACGCCATACACCCAAAGCGCTTTATAATCATGAGGGGGGTCTCTCCACACCACCACCAATGTGCAGCATCCACTTGGATGATGCGACGGCAGCCACAGGACCAGCTAGCTATTGGTGGAGTGGAGAGACAGTGATGGAGCCAATTCGGTGGAAGGGGATGATTGGGAGGCCATGATCGCAAGGGCCGATAGAGGGACTTTGGCCAGGACACCAGGGTTACACCCCTGCTCTTTCACAAGAAGTGCCATGGGATTTTTAATGACCACAGAGAGTCAGGACCTCGGTTTAACGTCTCATCCGAAAGATGGCGCCCACTGACAGTGTAGTGTCCCCTTCACTTTTACTGGGGCATTAGGACTCACACAGACCACAGGATGAGCGCCCCCTGCTGTCCTCACTAACACCACTTCCAACAGCAACCTAGTGTTTCCTAGTGGTCTCCCATCCAGGTACTGACCAGGCTCAGCCCTGCTTAGCTTCAGTGAGTAACCAGTCTTGGGCTGCAGGGTGACATGGCTGTGGCCATGATAGACTTGAAAAATGTCCACGTGGGGTGCGTACGTACAATTCTGAACAATATCTTCAGCATATAAACATGAGATATCCACTAGACTGTTTAGAGCTGACTCCAGACCTGTGAAACGGATCCACAATCGAATAGAACACACACACTTAAATTGCAATCTGTTTTTTACCCAAGGCTGAGTGTACTCTCAGACGTTTTTATCAAAACTGGTTAAAGACGGTATAATTCAGGCAGTTAAATTCTTACTACACAAAGTCTATCCTAAATAAAAAGTAGTATCGCTTTAAAAGAACTAACCGTAAAATTAGCAAAATCACTTTAGACATTTTAGACAGTATTAACTCATAGAAATAACAATCGAAACAGTCTTCCCCCCTTCAGTTACACTCGAGGTCTCCGTGATCTCTGACCTAGTTTGGTGGCTCCTGAAAATAATTACAAAGAGACAAGCAAATGCACTGAACATTTTTATATTAAGCAATGTGTTAACTTTATTCATTATTCAATAATCATCTTTATTAAAAATAATGAGAAATAGGATGATGAGAAAAGGATAAACGTTGATCCATGCTGACATGGATTGGAAGGTAGAAATCGAAATCCTTCAGAACTATCCCTTTACTAAGGTTTAATGCTGTCTTAATAATTGGTGATGTTAAGAAAATATTAGTGAGCATGTGTGTTTTGTTTCTAGGGGAGTTTGGCTCTGTGAGAGAAGCTTTCCTCAAATCCGAGAACAACTCTGGGCAGAAGGTTGCTGTGAAAGTCCTAAAAAGTAAGCCAACAAAATCCTTGAATGTCTGTGAACCATTGATGTTGCTGTCGTTTCTGTTCAGTGATGCGTCTTTCTCTGTGCTTCTAACAGCGGACATTAATTCATCCAGTGACATTGAGCAATGCCTGAAAGAAGCTGCCTATATGAAGGACTTCCACCATCCCAATGTCATTCAGCTTATAGGTTAGTGGACACTGTTTTTGCTTTAAAGGGACGGTACACTCAAAAATGACCACTTTGTTATTATTTCCTCAGCCTTCACTTGGTCAAACATGTTTGAGCTTCATTTCACCTTCATTTCATTCACCTTCAAGCACAAAACAAGATCATTTTAGAATGATTTAAAAAACACCTACTTTGGATGTTAATAGTCACCGGTCTTCAACATTCTTCAAAATATCTTTTTTTGTGTTCGGCAGAAAACCGAGTAAAGGGAAAGGGAGAGTAAATAGTATTGAAAATGTTCGTTTTTAGGTGATCATTCCTTTAGATCAGGGGTGTCAAACGTACGGCACTTGGCTACCACTGCAAATATATTTTAAACCTGTAGGAATCCCTGCACACTGAGGTGATCTCATGAGGAACAGTGGCGTAGCGGACGGGCCCCGCGTGATTAGGGGGGCCCGCGTCGGCGCGATTTTCAATAATTGATAATCCGGCAACCGCAATAATCAAACTCTTGGGAACAACTGTGGTCGGAACCAAAGTTCACAGGTCTGTGTTCTCTGAACACCTCTCAAGCGGTGGACTACTTCATTCTGATTGCTTGCCGCCAATGTTGCCAACTTAGCGACTTTGTCATTAGATTTAGCGATTTTTCAGACCCCCCTAGTGACAAATCTAGCGACTTTTTTGTGTGTTATTGGAGATTTTTTTTTTAGACTGTCATTTGTCCATACTGTACCGTCCCTACTCTTCTCAACGAGCTGCGTGTGATGCCGCCGACCCCTCCCCCGCCTCACAGCACTGACAGGCGGCCCAGTCAGTCCTCTACAGCAGCTTCTCCCACCTGCAGCCCGAGAGCAGATCACCCCTCTGCATACCAGTGACAAATGATTTAGCACAGGCAGTGTGAAGGTATTTCCCTTGTACAGTCAAACCGATCTACTTCTACTTTATTTTAACAATTTAATTGGACCGTTTATTATTATTTTTGTTTACAATCACAAATATTTTAGTGACAGTTTCTGAATTTGTCTGAGTTTATTACATATGAGAGATTACTGCACATTCACTACACATCTATAATGACATGCTGTATTCAAACAGCAATACATTTAGTTAAATAAACATGCTTTTATAAAGTGTAGTGCAATTATAAATACCCCTTTATTAACCAAAGGCTGTTAAACAAACAGAAACGGTAGAACGTGATGACGTCAGTGATATGCAAATTGACGTATGACGCATCCATCCCCCCCAAACTTCATCAGGGGGCCCCGTCAGCGATCCCTGCAGGGGGGCCTCCGCATTTTGCGTTACGCCACTGATGAGGAAATGTAACTGTGTTTGTGATTTGTAATTTTAGGTTTTGTCAGTTTAGTGGCTATTTTGTACGAGTTCAGTCATATGAAAATGTACCATTTGAAAAAGAAGGCATGGTAGCCCCCCTCTCTCTCTCTCTCTCGGGGTCCGGCCCACTTGAGAACAGATTTTACTCCATGCAGCCCCTGACCTGAAATGAGTTTGACACCCCTGCTTTAGATTGATCGTTCTTAGTCATGGGGATCTCTATAGAAATGCAGCACAATCCGATCATATTTCCATCTGTTTCAAGCTATGAATATTTGGACCACATATAAACAGAACAAACACAAACTGTAAATCGTGGGCACTTCTGATCATATACTGTTTTTCAGTCATTTGAAATTATCATGTCCCTCTCAGAACTCCAATTCAGCGATGTTTACATTCATCTTGTGGATATTACTCAGCGATTTAGTCACTGATGACGGCATTAAAGCACAAGAGTGTCTGCTTTTATATTTGGCGATGGTTTCTTTTGCTTAGATTAATATGTGCTGGTAGGGAAAATCTATTTATTTAATTCTGACATTTATACTTCGATTTTGTGTTTCAATTTATACTTTAATTGCAGTTAGCCTGCAAATTAGATAAAAAACTATATAAAAGCATACAAATACATGACAGTTATAGGTGTCATAGATTGTTTTGGGTCAATGATGCTACCAATCAACACAAATACATACATTTCTCCTTTCTGGCTGTTCTTTCTATGAGTGAATTCATATAAAAAGGCAATTCAGTTTCAAGCTAAGAATATTTGGACTTTATATCAACAGAACAAAACAGAGATATGATCACAAACTGTAAATTGTGGGCCCTTGTGATCCATATACTGCACCCGCAGCCATTTTTCAGTCATTTAAACCTATCATGTACCTCCCAGAGCTCTAATTCAGCTATGTTTACATCTACAAACCTACTTTAAACTGTGTAAAACAACATACAAACACAATGACAGTTATAGGTACCATAGATTGTTATGGGTCAATGACAGTGGTGTAAACTACTCTAGTAAATGGACTTCGTTACTTTACTTAAGTATTTTTGGCTACTTTGTACTTGTACTTAGTATTAAAAATAAAAGCAACTTTTACTCTCTACTTGAATACATTTTTGATTGAATATATGTACTCTTTACTCCTCTACATTTGATCGGACCCTTACCGTTACATTGTGATTGTGCACAACAAGTCAGCATCTTTATCTACCATGGCTAATTTGTTGGGGACGGACGAGGCGATATCGCAATCCGCAGGGTGCTGAAAGTACTATTTGCTATTTATGAGCTAAATCACATGAACGTGAATTAGCAGCTTGCCTAATAAAAGGTGTTTAATTAGCAACATGACTGCAGCCAATGATAAAGCCGAAGTCGGCACATCAAGCAATGCCAGCACTGATGACCATCCATGTCCTTGTCTGAAAGAAATGTTTTCATTTGCCGATATGCAGAATGGCTCTTACAGGATGCAGTGTTTACTTTGTTTGCCACAAACAATGAAAATAAGTGCTTTTAAGAATTTATTGTCAAATTTGAGAAAACACATTGAAGTAAGAGTCTATTTAATGTTAATCTAATGTGAATTTAGTGAATTTAATACAGTTACTGCTATGGCAAAAACAACTGCGACATGACAAGAGTATGTTTTAGCTAATTGTTTTTTGTGCGACGTGAACAAATGTATTACTGAAATTATACATTTTGCATCAGGTGCATTTAGCTGTGTGATGTATTTTTCATTAAATTTATATGTAGTTTACTAAGTTGAAAAATAACAATGCTCATCTTTGTTTAATTTTAATACAGTGAAAACATCCTAATCAACTTAAAAAAATACTTAAAATAAAAGTATTGCCCACCTCTGAGACTGAGAGGTGAATCACATGAAAGTCAGCACTGAATCCTTTTTTACTACATTTTACTTTTTTTTTTAATTGTTTGTGCCTTTTTTGAACATTTAAGTTTGACTGAGACTTTTTGTTCTTTTTTTTATCTATTTTATTCTACAATTTTGAATCATTGAGGTGTTCAATTTAATTTCTACATTAGGAAATAAAACCTTTCTTGGTGTTCTTTGAGCCTACATTCAGTATGAGTAAAATACTTAAGTTCTTTCAAAATCGGAAACTTTAATACTTTTACTCAAGTTTTATTGGAATTGGTGACTTGTAACTTGTAATTTTTAAAGCAAGGTATCTTTACTTTTACTCAAGTATGGTTTTCAGGTACTTTTTACACCTCTGGTCAAAGATGCTACCAATCAGCACAAATACATGCATTTCTTCTTTCTTACTGTTCTTACTATGAGGTAATTCATTAGAAGCACAGCCCAGAAGTGTCTCCTCATCGGTTGGTATAGCTATATCTTATTGCACAACAATTATTCAGCTTTTTGGCTTAAAAAAGAGAAATCACTCAGCCTGTGATTTGGCAGTCAGTGGGAGAGAGTAATTTATCGCACACCAGGGGTGGTGTTCCCCTAATAGTGTGGAAAGCACCAAAGCTAATCTCCGAGAGTCCCTTTGCATTTTGACATATAAATGATTAAGCAGGGTTTACTAAAGTTGTGCTATGATGAATCAATTTCCCAGGTGTGAGTTTGCACAGAAGAGCCCAGCAGCGTCTGCCTGTTCCTATGGTCATCCTGCCCTTCATGAAACATGGAGATCTCCACACGTTTCTTCTCATGTCTCGTCTCGGAGATGAACCTTTTGTACGTTTTGTCACCTTCTCTCACACACAACCATTTCAGTTCATCAGTCTATCAGTCATTTCTTCACATCTATCATATGCATCTTTAGGTTGTTGCATGTGTGTTCTAATAATATTATAAATGTTTGTATATGTCTGAAATATGGGTGCATGATATTTGAAAAAAAAAACATATACAGTGGGGGGAAAAATATTAAACATGTTATTTAAAACATAAAACGTATTTCTAAAGGTGTTGTTGACTTGAAATTTTCACCGGATGTTGGTAACAATCAAAGAAATTCATATATGCAAAGAAATCAATATTAATTAGTTTACAAATGAAGTTCTGTGTAATAAAATGAAATGCGCAGAAAAAAAATTGTTGAACACATAAAGAAAGAAAGGTGTAGAAAGGCAGTGAAAGCCCAGTAAGCAGCTGAAATCTCTCAGTAGTTCTTCAGCAACCCTCTGCCCTTCAACATTGTAAATGAATATTTGCTTCTTCAGTGCAACATCTACATTACCACAGGATGGACATTTCAGCAAGACAACGATCCAAAACACAGCAAAGAAACTCAAATGCTTTCAGAAAATCAAGCTGTAGAATGGCCCAGCCAATCACCTGACATAAATCCAATAGAGAATACAACTTAAAGATCAGATTTGATAGACGAGACCCACAGAACCATCAAGATTTTTACATTCTGTTAAGGTCTGTGAAAGAAATGTGACTTAATTGTGACTCCATATGAGAAGCATCTTTAAGCTGCTGTCACCAAAAAAGCCTTTTATATAAAGTATTAAATACATTTCAGTAGTTCAGTTCTTTCTCCTTCTGTCATTCCGTTGTTATTACACATAACTCATTTACAGATTTCATTTGTTTTATCTTTATGATGGTATTGTTTGGGCTTTTACCAAAATCTGGTTCAATTTCATGTTAACAGCTCCTTTTGAAATATTATTCCATAGAAAAAAACATGAGGTGTTCAATACTAATTCGCCCTACTGTATATTGTAATAAGCATAAATTTGAGCAGATGACTTGAATAGTTCTATGTGGAATTAATTCATTTTAGAACGATTGGGATGATGATGTAGGGGAGTACATATGCATAAAATATAGTAAACAAGCTTAGATAAATATAATAGAGTAAAGATACAAAATATATAAACAGTGCTTTATGATTTTCTTAGCAGTCTAACAGTATTCAGGTACAAAAATTAAATAATCAAAGGTAATATACACCAGGGATTCTCAACCTTTTTAACTTTGAGGTCCATTTTTTTTCTCCAATCAATTTTTTTCTCCCAATGTTATTGGGAGAATGCTGACAGGAACAGTGAACAACTCCGCCAGAGCACGTCTGGAGCTCAAATGGAAGTTTATTTTACTTTCTATGGCAGAAACGCCATTGAGGCTCGCTAGATCCTCCTGTATAGCGCACGTCCATTATAAAACACTCACAGGACATTCATTTGGACAACTATACAAATATATTAAATAGTTCACACAAATATACACAAAGAGAGACTTTCATTTTCACTTCAAGCATAGTTCGTGAATGACCAGACTTACGTGTGCTAGTTGCAGATGCGATCATGTGGCTGTTTTTGTAAAGGGTTTGAAGTAATTAATCAGAGAACAGGAGAAAATGCATTTCTTCAATCATTTTAATATAGCATATCCAATCATTAAAGTATAACATAGAGAGTTAATTTCTCACGGCCATCTTAAGGATCGCTGAGGCCCACTAGTGTAGGATCCCTGATATACACCATATTCAAACATATAATAAACACTATGGGCCCTATCATACACCCGGCACAATGCGGTGCGCGGCGCATTAGTCTTTTGCTGTAGTTTCAGCTTGGCGCAAGAGTGGTTTTGAGGCGTTGCGCTACGCTGTTTAAATAGCAAATGCATTTGCGCTCAAATGTGCGCCCATAGGCGTTGTGGTCTAAAAAGGGAGGCGTTCTGAAGCGCACTGCTGGTGTGTTGCTATGTTGAGAAACTATAATAGATTTTTCAATAGACCAAAACAAACCCGGTCTAAAGTCCCGCGCAGAGTTGCGCCTTGCTTACACACTGCTTAATACACACAGAGGAAGAGTATTGTAGAGCAATACGCAAATATCTTTACATATGAAAAAACTTAAATATTAAGGATATATATATAGGATGTAATAAGAATAGATATAGAATATAAATATAAAGGATTAAAATATTACAAAACATATTATTTTCTAGCCTACATAAATATAAAAAAAAACACTGCTTTCATGCCTTCTTCTCGGGAGGCTTTTTCAGTTCATTCATAATAATTTGCTTTTGTATAATGTTATTATTATTAGCAGTATTATTTATTATATCCATATTTATATTTGTTTTATTAAAAAACAAGCTTAGATTAGGCCACCTGCAGGTTTTAGACCATATGGAGCACAGCATGTGTTTTAGGATATAACTCAGGTTTTTGAGCACACTTCGTTCTTATTGTTCATTTATTCGTTTGCTGGAAATTAGAACTGAATTTAGAAATAGTTTTGAAACAAATCTTTGTGCTTAACAAACGAAATTAATTATTTATAGACTAATTGATGTCTGTGCTTAAAGGTTTCCCTATCCACGAGAGCGAAAGTGAAAGTAGATCATTTATCTCTCATTCTCCCACGGTAGATGCTCTGTTTAACTGTTTTCTGTTAAACTAAACTGTTAACTGTTAACTGTTTGCTTGTAAAATGCTCAGTTTTTCCACTTAAACTTACTTTAAGTCATGTAAATAGCAAATGCGCTTATGGCGCGACGCAGCTGGCTCTTAAAGGGAATGGGAGATGAGAATCTGATTGGTTTATTCTCAAAACACATTAACTCATTAAGAAAATAACTCAACCCTTTTAGACCATGCGCCACGGCGCAAAGCGGATTTTCCCGTCCTTAAATTAGAAAAAATGCATTCTGACACGCCCTGAAAGCGTTTGCACCCTGCATTTTGCGCTTTGCGCATGGACCGTCAAAATAGAGCCCTATATTTTTCATCGTTTGAACAATTAAATACATTTCATCTTTGTTAAATCTACTAATGTTATTTTTAGTGCCCGTATGCTTTAAACTGTTGAAATCTCTTGAAAACAATCTCACAGGTCATAAAACACATGCAAATGATGACCTTTTACTCTATTATGGTTCCACTTTACAATCACTCCACAAGTCACATGTTCCGAAGTGCTGTTTCTTGTCAAATATAACTCTGATGTGAATCATTGCAATGATGATGCTGAAGAAAAGCCCTATTCTGAGGGTGATTCTTGTTTTGTTTGTTTGTAGACTGTTTCTCAGCAAATTCTCATCCAGTTCATGCTGGATATCGCTCGAGGGATGGAGTATCTAAGCAACAAAAACATCATCCATCGGGATTTGGCTGCGCGCAACTGCATGTGAGCTCATGTTTATGTCAACAACACTTTTTACATGTATTATAGATGCATTATAAATCATTTGTGCTGATGATTAACCACAAACTGATCCTCAATTTTAGGTTGAATGAAAACATGAGCGTATGTGTAGCAGATTTTGGTCTCTCGAAGAAAATCTACAGCGGTGACTACTATAGGCAAGGCTCTGTCTCCAAATTGCCTGTAAAGTGGATTGCTTTGGAAAGCCTGGCTGATAATGTCTACACAACACAGAGTGATGTGGTAATAAACAAATCTATACGCAACATATCTTTCTATATGCACTTTTTGTATTTCTAGGTGAGATGAATTTTACTATACAGTGCTCAGCATATATAAGTACACCCATTTTGAAAATGAATATTTTTATCCATTTCTCAGTGAATATAGGTCATATATATTGGTGCATTTGAACAAAAGTGATTTATTGAACAGATATATGTATTAAAATAATATTTTATTCACATCTTTAGAAATAGAAAGATTATACATTTTAAATTAAAGATTACAAACTACAAAATTTTAACAAATTTTTTCTTTGTTTCTGTTGATTTTTGTTCTTTCTTTAAATTGCATATTACATTTTTTCCTAACATATAAATTTAAGCTATACATTTTTTGACCATTATCATAAGTTACTTTATTAGATTAGCTCCAGATTTGGCTCCAGTACTGACTAATCTAATGTATATGCACACATATATATATATATATATGTCCTGCATAGTTTAGCTCCAACATTTTTCAACACACCTGCCTAAAAGTTACTTTTATTCAACCTGTAAGTTTTTTTTGGACTGGAAATGACACAGGCGTCGCCCAAAAGATAATAAGATGATGCACACGAGTCATCATTGTGAAAATAAATATTTCTCAGATTTATTTACATTTGAACAAAAACTTTCAGTCAGAACGTGCCAGGAGTATAAATAATTTTGGGCCTAACTGTATATAAATATATAGAGTTATAAAATTTTATATATATATATATATATATATATATATATATATATATATATATATATATATATATATATATATATATATATATATATATATATAGTTTTAATATTTATTTCAGTAATATTATTGAATAATAGGCAACTGTTTAAATGTTAATATAACTGAATAGAATACTACTTGTAGTATTGTAATATTTTCTTTTTAATACATAATATATTCTCTACTATATGTAATATATTCTGTCTTTTATTGGATGTATTATATATATATATTACTTGTTCAAACTACTTAATTAAAATGAGCTGAAACAACACAACTCTTGAGATTTCATTTTAACAACTTATTTTTTATGTTCTGTCGACATAAATTTGTTAAAAGTGTTAACTTAATCAATTTGTGTTGGGACAACATGAATAAATTTTTTCAAACCCTGCAATTTTTACAGCGTATAAGAGACTTTCTGTAGCTTTGTTTACCAAACAAGTGGTTCGAATTGGATTTTGATTGTAAACCTTTAATAAAAATGTACCTAGTTTTCTATTTTATGTGTTAGGATTTCAACTTCTTCAAAATCTCTCTGTAAATTTACAGATTTTATTTATTTATATATTTATTTATTTGTTTTACAAAATTATGTGTAGAAATACCAAAAAAGTCTGAGATTCTGTTTGGTCCTAGTCATTACATTACATTACATTACAATTTTTGACAACAGAATCTAGTATATTAGACAGCTATGTAATAGTCTATTATACTAGGTTTTGTAATATGTTTAGCCTTTGTTACTGACCTGTCTTGTGTTTTTTTTTTTTTTTGTTTAAAGTGGGCGTTTGGTGTGACTATGTGGGAGATCATGACTAGAGGTCAAACACCTTACCCAGGAGTGGAGAACTCTGAGATCTACGAGTATCTTATCAAGGGAGAAAGACTAAAGCAGCCGCCGGACTGCCCTGCTGACATGTACGTTTTAATTGTTGGGGTTTGTAAAATATCCCAAATTTTTTTTTAAGAGTTTTTTTTTTGGGTTTAACTTAATTGTTTTATGTTCAATTCACTTAATTTAGTAAAAGCTAATAAGTTAACTTGGTTCCTTCATGTTACACCAACACAAATCGATTGTGTGGAACCCCACATTTTTACAGTGGTCCTTAAAACCACAAAATATTTTGATGCTCATTGATCCACTTGACCAACTATCCCACATTTTCTCCCTTTCAGTTACGAAATCATGCACAGCTGTTGGTCTCCAGTGCCTAAATGCCGCCCCAGTTTCCAGCACCTCATTGACCAATTGGAGCTCCTGTGGGCGAAGTTGAATCCTGCTCCTGTAAAAGAGCCATTGCTGTATGTCAACCTTGAGGAGGAAGATGGAGAACAGGCTAATAGCGGGACCCGGAGCAGTGAGGAGCCCTCATGGGGCGTCCCGTGGCAGTGTGCAGGTATTGAGGAAGACGAAAAAGATTGGTTAATGGTGTCATCGGGAGCTGCTCTTGCTATTGGTGGAGATTACCGGTACATCATTGGCCCGTCTGTTAGCGCCATTGATGAAGAGAGCAGACATTCTGACGACGGACTATCGGAGGATATCAGGGAAGAAGAAGAGGATGTTATTATTAATGTGTGATTTATACTGTTGAAGTCTGAATTATTAGCCCACCTGTTTATTTTTCCCCTAATTTCTGTTTAACAGAGAGGAGATTTCTACAACACATTTCTAAATATGATAGTTTTAATAACTGATTTCTTTTATCTTTGCCATGATGACAGTACATCATATTTGACTAGATATTTTTCAGGATACTAGTATTCAGCTTAAAGTGCATTTAGGGGGCTTTCACACCTGCCTTATTTAGTTCGATTGAATCGCACTAGAGTTTGTTTCCCCTTTTGGTACGGTTCGTTTGGGCAGGTGAGAATGCCGTACTCGAGTGCGCACCAAAAGCGGACCAAATAAGCGTACCGAGACCTGCTTGAAGAGGTGGTCTTGGAACGCTTTCAAACGAACCCTGGAGCAGCTGCTTTGTTGTGAGAATATGATCCGTACTAAAACAGGTCCAACCGCAAAAATTACTGCGCGTTTTGGACTAATTCAGCTGCAGTAGGCCGATGCGCTGTGCATTATGGGATATGGAGGAAAAATATTTGTTGACAGCGCTTTACCAACAGAGAGAGAGAGAGAGGGTAAAACATTATCTGATGGATCGTTGGTAATATTTCCGCAAGATGACCATGTCGCAATTTAGCTAAATTAATTCACGCCTCCTCCTGAAGTGATGAGCGATGCATTAAACACTGTTTTCCAGCCGTGGCCGCGCTTCATTTTCGTAATGTATAGTTTGTCTAAAGCAGGGATACAATCAGCCAGCGCAGTCGTCCCTCCAGAGTAAAAGGTTTTGTTTACCTGCGGGAGTTCACTGGCATTTTCCTGCACGTGAATTCTGACCAATCAATAAGCAGTTTAGGAAATATGTTCAACAACATCTGGCCAATGAGAGATGTGGATTTTGTCAGATGACTGCATTTTGGTTCGTTTCAACTGGTTCGGTCCAAAGCCAGCAGTGTGGTGTGAAAACGATCCAAAGACGGCAGAAGATGCAGCAATGTATCATTTATTACCCTTGGTCCAGACCAAATGAAGCGAACTACAAATGTGAAAGCACCCTTTAAGACTTAACTAAGTTAATTACAACCCAGTTCTGATTATGTACCCCTACATACATTTCTGGAGAGTGCCAAATTTTTGTTTGTTTAAGTGCAGTTTTTGTTTTCCACGAATCCACCAGAGGCCGCTGTGTATGCTTTTTCAGATCTCAAATTTCTCTTGCGAGTGCCATTTGCGCCTGCTGTTCTCGGGTAAATCCACCAGAGGCCGCTGTCGACTGAATAACTGATTAACTGACCGATCCTCCACCCCCTTCTCTAAACCCAACCAAAAGTGTTTTAAAAAGCACCAATTGACCAACGTCTACCCCCTTCCCTGAACCCAACCCCAGTGTTTTCAAAAGCAATCTAAAAAAGAAAAGCCCTTACCTGATTTTTACGATTTTTTCAGATTTTACCACATTCTCACTTGCTATTTACTTGTTTATTTTATCCTTTGGGGTTTATCTCTCCTGCTTTCTGGAACCGTTCTTCACCGGACTCGAACCCCGCTGTCGCGGTCATTTCCTCTTTGCGTCTCAAGTCAATGTCAAGCTACCGAACAAACTGGTAACAACAGAAAAGCCGTCCACATGGAGGTAAGCAGTCAGCAGCTAAGCGAGAAAAGGCATAACTCCGCCCGTAGCGTTGGTTCTAAAGACAAAATGCAGCCATATGTACTTCTGGCTACATGATTCGTGATCCCCAAAAAACGTATATAAGGCTACGTTTTCAGAATGAGCCTATGTTGGTTTATTAGTTTAACAAGTTAAGGTCAAAGCTGCTTAACAAAGAAGTTATGGTTAATTGAAACTGTGTCAGTCCGGTTTTCACAGTTTAGTTCAGTTCAGGATAGTTTAATTTTCACAGCTGAAAGTCAAAACAATAGCTATGTTTCTATCCAACTATTTTATGCGCATTTTGGATGTGTGCATAAAAAACAGTTGATGGAAACGCCAAGATGCCCATACATTTTGAAAATGCACATAAAAACATATTCGCATAACTGAGTTGGATAAACTTTTTATTCGATAAGAAAAGATGCGCATAAACTACGATGGAAACACTTTTACTGCACAAAATCCAATATACGCATTAAGAAAGGTCATGTGATTTTGTTATAAAAGATCATGTGATGATAAAAATGTGTGTAAATAGGTAAACCAGCAAGCTGAGCACACTGTAAAACATCTGAAATGTTGTTTTGGTCATTCTAAAACGCCTTAACCGTTTCAGTATCAGTGTTATTATATTGTTAATGACCTCTAGAACTGTCAAGAGCGTCTGTACTCCACGTCTCACTCCTTCAAACGACACCATGCATTCATTATGTGTCAGCATCATCTTCTGAGACGTAAGTCATTTATTAAGTAAGGAAAAGATTGACACAGCTTCTCCTACTGCAGCTAATTCCATGTTGATATTTGGCGCCAGTTAATTAGGAAGTGACAATTTTCTTCTCTTTGACTCGTTGGATGGAAACACTGCTTTATTCACACGTCTTTTATGCAAAAATCCCAACCCAGGCTCATTCTGAAAACGTTCTGGTGACTGCGAAATACATCCCTGGAAGTATGTATCTTGCAGTTTTTGTTTTCATGAATCCGCGAGAGGCTTTTTTCACACCTCAAATGCCTCTTGCGAGTGCCGTTCACGCCTGGCTGTTTTCCTGTGAACCCACCAGAGGCCGCTGTCGACCGAGTGAATTACTGAATGATTGACTGGGCGACCCGCAAATCGACTGACCCACCCTCCTCCTTCCCTAAACCCAACCAATTTTACCGATTAACCCACCCGCTTACTTCTCTAAACCCAACCGACGGTTTACAAAAGCCGCCTAGAAAAAGAAAACCCCTCATATGATTTTTACCACATTTTCAGATTTTACCACATTCTCACACTGTTGTTCACTTGTTCATTTTATTTTTTGGATTCTGTTTTTGTCTTTTTGTACCTGATTTCTGGAACCGCTCTTCCCCGGACTCGAACATGGTCGTTGTTGTTGTTTTTGTGGTCAACTTCTCTCTGCGTCTTAAGTCCGCCGAGTCCACTGTTTCAAGTACACGTTAGGCTAACTGGACAAACTGGTTGCGGTAGGAAAGCCCTCCACAAGGAAGTAAGCAGCAGGTAAATGCGAAAATGAATGCCGTCACACCGCCCTGTAGCATTCGCTAAAAAAATGAAATGCAGCCAAGTGTACCTCCGGCTACATAATTTTCGGTTTTCAGAAATGTCTGCAGGACTATGTTTTCAGAATGAGCCTGTGTTGAATTATCCAGTTTTGGGCATGAATTTAATTTGTATTTTTGGATGGAAACATAACTACTGAAGAGCAAATCCATCAATGAGCAGCTCCACAAGTCCCAAAACCAAGCAAGCTAGTGGCGAGGAACGACTTTCATTTTCGTCAATTGGTGAAATTAACGAAAGTAAAAGTAAAAAAACCTAGAGTGAAACCAGGCTCAGTTGTGCTCAGTTGTGACCATTTCTCCTCTGGACAAACTTCTTGTGCAGAGCTGCAGTCTATTGTATAACAACAGTTTTTTCTGTAGATAATCAAAAAATATTGCTAAAGGGGGCTAATAGTGTTGAGCTAAAAATGTTGGTTTTTTTTTTATTAAAAACTGCTTTTATTCTAGCTTAAATAAAACAAACACGAAGTTCTCCAGAAGATAAAATATCATCAGGCATACTGTAAAAATTTTCTTGCTCTGTTAAACATCATTTGGGAAATATTTGAAATGAAAAGAAAAATTCACAGCAGGGCTAATCATTTTGACTTCAACTGTGTATATTTTTGTTATTTTCCCCCAAAGCTAATCTAGTAGGTAATGATTGCACAAGACTCTTTTAAAAAGAAACTGTGGGTCCGTAAAAACATTCCTCGGTCATTTTACTGGTGAAATTCCAGGAATAATGCTTAACACAAAGAACTGTTCTCCATGCTAACAGGACATACAATCAGCTGCTAATACCTTTTAAAAACCTTTTTAATGACTAATTACGAGTGTAGCAAAGCCAGTGTTTGAACAAATGAAATGTTTAGAGTCTGACGTGTGATTTATGAAATGTTATTGTACAGTAAATCATTGTATTGTACAGATGTTTTTTTGCTAGTACTTTTCTAGCATAATGTGTATTTTGTATGTGTAAAAGTGTCAATCATGTTATGGGACTCGCATATGTGGTGCCTTCGTTTTCAAACAGTTTCTGAATGTTTGTTACGCTGCATGAAGACAAATTCCTGCGGGTTTATAATGCATGCTATTACATAAGCTCAGACTGTAATTTTTGTGCTTGTACTTAAAGGAATGTTCTGGGCTAAATGCAGGGTAAACTGGGCTAAGCTGCATGATTATTAATTATTTCAGTGTTTTTGCAGCAGGGGAAAGGGGAAACCGCAAAAGATCTGTCATGAGTTTCAGAGCCATAGGAAATATATATATATATATATATATATATATATATATATATATATATATATATATATATATATATATATATATATATACACACAGTCGATGTCAGAATTATTAGCCCCTCTGTTTATTTTTTCCCCAATTTTTGTTTAACGGAGAGAAGATTTTTTTTCAGCACATTTCTAATCATAATAGTTTTAATAACTCATTTCTAATAACTGATGTATTATATCTTTGCCATGATGACAGTAAATAATATTTTACTAGATATTTTTTAGTTTAAAGTGAGATTTAAAGGCTTAACTAGGTTAATTAGCTTAAGTTAGGGTTATTAGGCAAATCATTGTTTAACAGTGTTTCGTTCTGTAGACAATAATCTTAAAATCTTAAAATGGTCTTAAAAAAATAAAAACTGCTTTTACTCTAGCCAAAATAAAACAAATAAGACTTTCTTCAGAAGAAAAAAAATATTATAGGAAATACTGTGAAAAATTCCTTGCTCTGTTAAACATTATTTTGGAAATATTTGAAAAAGAAAAAGTCACAGGAGGGCGAATCATTTTGACTTCAACTGTACACGACTCTGCCCTGATTGTATTATAAATCCCCAGTGAGAAAAATGTTACTCTCCATTTATTGTTAGGCGGAGTCAAAATAATTTGATGTGTTTGCTGCATTTAAACCGGATCATTTCGTTAATTTGTACAGCAAACTCTCATTAGAGCATTCTGAGATTGGGATATCAAGGGACTTTAGGTTTGTATTAGATTCAAGGTTCATTTTTTTTTTATGCTGTATGTTATGATTACTTACGACAGCAGGCTTTGCAGCTCAGAATGCAATGCAAAGTTGTGTTTTTCAAGAGTTGTGGTAACACTTTATAATAACTACACACTGTGAATCATTCATTAAGCATATAGTTTATTTATTATCTATTAAGAATTAACTCTACATTAATAGACGTTAGTAAGCAGTTTATAAATGCAGTTACTAATGCTCTATTCTTGACTTAAGCACATTTATAACATGCGTAATGATTGTGTTGTCATACTTTGTTACGTATTAATTGTCCTAAATTCAGTATTGCATTATGTTCAAACCATTTGTATTTAAGGGTAGTTTGCTGTTAAAATCATTTAGAGTGAGTTGGTAAATGATTAATAAACTATTCAAATCAACATGTAAATATTTCATTATTCAGGCGTGTAATAATGGTTGCTATCAGGCCCGGTGCTACCAGGGGGGTCTAAGGATT